TGTCTTTGATGTACATCAGATGAATATCGAGGTGACATAGCGGTATATTGTAATGTCTTTGATGTACATCAGATGAATATCGAGGTGACATAGTGGTATATTGTAATGTCTTTGATGAACATCAGATGAATATCGAGGTGACATAGCGGTATATTGTAATGTCTTTGATGTACATCAGATGAATATCGAGGTGACATAGTGGTATATTGTAATGTCTTTGATGAACATCAGATGAATATCGAGGTGACATAGTGGTATATTGTAATGTCTTTGATGAACATCAGATGAATATCGAGGTGACATAGTGGTATATTGTAATGTCTTTGATGAACATCAGATGAATATCGAGGTGACATAGTGGTATATTGTAATGTCTTTGATGTACATCAGATGAATATCGAGGTGACATAGCGGTATATTGTAATGTCTTTGATGTACATCAGATGAATATCGAGGTGACATAGTGGTATATTGTAATGTCTTTGATGAACATCAGATGAATATCGAGGTGACATAGCGGTATATTGTAATGTCTTTGATGTACATCAGATGAATATCGAGGTGACATAGCGGTATATTGTAATGTCTTTGATGTACATCAGATGAATATCGAGGTGACATAGTGGTATATTGTAATGTCTTTGATGAACATCAGATGAATATCGAGGTGACATAGCGGTATATTGTAATGTCTTTGATGTACATCAGATGAATATCGAGGTGACATAGTGGTATATTGTAATGTCTTTGATGAACATCAGATGAATATCGAGGTGACATAGCGGTATATTGTAATGTCTTTGATGAACATCAGATGAATATCGAGGTGACATAGTGGTATATTGTAATGTCTTTGATGAACATCAGATGAATATCGAGGTGACATAGTGGTATATTGTAATGTCTTTGATGTACATCAGATGAATATCGAGGTGACATAGCGGTATATTGTAATGTCTTTGATGTACATCAGATGAATATCGAGGTGACATAGTGGTATATTGTAATGTCTTTGATGTACATCAGATGAATCTCGAAGTCACATAGCGGTATATTGTAATGTCTTTGATGTACATCAGATGAATATCGAGGTGACATAGTGGTATATTGTAATGTCTTTGATGAACATCAGATGAATATCGAGGTGACATAGCGGTATATTGTAATGTCTTTGATGTACATCAGATGAATATCGAGGTGACATAGTGGTATATTGTAATGTCTTTGATGTACATCAGATGAATATCGAGGTGACATAGCGGTATATTGTAATGTCTTTGATGAACATCAGATGAATATCGAGGTGACATAGCGGTATATTGTAATGTCTTTGATGTACATCAGATGAATATCGCGGTGACATAGCGGTATATTGTAATGTCTTTGATGTACATCAGATGAATATCGAGGTGACATAGCGGTATATTGTAATGTCTTTGATGAACATCAGATGAATATCGAGGTGACATAGTGGTATATTGTAATGTCTTTGATGAACATCAGATGAATATCGAGGTGACATAGTGGTATATTGTAATGTCTTTGATGTACATCAGATGAATATCGAGGTGACATAGCGGTATATTGTAATGTCTTTGATGTACATCAGATGAATATCGAGGTGACATAGTGGTATATTGTAATGTCTTTGATGTACATCAGATGAATCTCGAAGTCACATAGCGGTATATTGTAATGTCTTTGATGTACATCAGATGAATCTCGAAGTCACATAGCGGTATATTGTAATGTCTTTGATGTACATCAGATGAATCTCGAAGTCACATAGCGGTATATTGTAATGTCTTTGATGAACATCAGATGAATATCGAGGTGACATAGCGGTATATTGTAATGTCTTTGATGTACATCAGATGAATATCGAGGTGACATAGTGGTATATTGTAATGTCTTTGATGTACATCAGATGAATATCGAGGTGACATAGTGGTATATTGTAATGTCTTTGATGTACATCAGATGAATATCGAGGTGACATAGTGGTATATTGTAATGTCTTTGATGAACATCAGATGAATATCGAGGTGACATAGTGGTATATTGTAATGTCTTTGATGTTGGAGGATGCTCCTTTGTAATCTTCAAGCGTACTAACCTGTGATTGGTCAGTGATATTCTCCTGGAACCAATCAAATTTTTTTGCTTGCGTCTTCAATTTTGTCATGACATGTTCTAGAGAGCGAAAGTCATTGTAACCCCTGGAATATCAAGAATGGGTGGGATATGAGTTTGCCCTGGACGACAGTTATAATTTGATAACTGTCCCAACTACTAATGCTTCTGCATTTATCATACTAAATGTATATTGATTATGACAGTGTATCTGGAGTATATCTTTTGTACTTTTAGGGTGTCCTGTCGTGTAGTAAATGTTACTTTTGTTTTTCTAACCTGAAAATGTTTTCCTCTGTGATTTTCTGAGCTGTCTTTCACATCTCTATCCTTCGTACCCGACTGATACCACCATGCTTCGGAGGATGACTCATCGTCTGTGATGACGACTTCTGTATTCCCAGAATACCTTTGGGTATTAGTGATGTAGAATAGCAAAAATCAATCATCGATTCTGTTAAAATCCAGGGTAGTAAATTGATTACCTAATCAGCTGACCATGTTCAATTTTTATAGAAAGAGTCAATGCATTTACCGACATATACAGGATAGCACACACATTTACAAAGTCACTAACATATCACAGGATTACACACACATTTATAAAGTCACTAACATATCACAGGATTACACACACATCTATAAAGTCATTGACATATCACAGGATTACAAACACATCTATAAAGTCACTAACATATCACAGGATTACACACACATCTATAAAGTCACTGACATATCACAGGATTACACACACATCTATAAAGTCACTAACATATCACAGGATTACAAACACATATATAAAGTCACTGACATATCACAGGATTACACACACGTCTATAAAGTCACTGACATATCACAAGATTACACACACATCTATAAAGTCACTGACATATCACAGGATTACACACACATCTATAAAGTCACTGACATGTCACAGGATTACAAACACGTCTATAAAGTCATTGACAAGTCACAGAATTACACACACATCTATAAAGTCACTGACGTCACAGGATTACAAACACATATATAAAGTTACAGACATATCACAGGATTACAAACGTGTATAAAAGTCACTGACATGGTAAAGTGAACCCCTATACCACCCCATCCTTAATTTTCCCAACCTAGACTCATTTTTTGTTATGTATGTGTTTAAATGAATGAATCAGGCTATTTTCTCTCTAATAATGTACCTACCAGTAGTGGTGAGTTTAACATATGCTGTTTTCTCTAATAATTTACCTACCTGTAGTGGTGAGTGTAACAGCAGCTTTTTTCTCTCTAATGAAATGTGTTTTCTGGCGTTTTATTGGATTTTTTTTATGAACTTTCTGAAATTCTGAAAATCCTTCGCCAAAACTTTGCCATTTATCAACAGATTTCTCTATTTCTTCAGTCTTGTTTCGAGATTTATCTTTCCTTTCTGGACTGTATATCAACTACAAAATAAATCAGACACATAGAATTATGACAAGCAACACAAGCTTATCAAAGAATCTCTATATATATTTAGAAAATCTGACGGCCAGTTTAGCAAACTGAAAAAAAAAAAAATGAAAAAGTACAGATATACATGTAGAGGTACAATGTATACAGATATCTAGCAGTGACTGGGGTACAATGGAGATCATTAAATGAGAACCACTTTATCATCCTCCCTACAGTCCTGACCCAGGTCTCAAGTGTTTATCATTTGTTAGTAAGATCCATATTTATAATAAGGTAATAGTTTACTAGGGGTTAGTACATTTGCTTTTTGGTTGATTTTGAGCCAACTTTTTAAAGACAAGAAACCCAGTTTTTGCAATGCTCTTCTGGTTGAACTCCTTATCCAAACTGACGGAATTATTCTACTGTTATGTGGCTCAGAATGTACTGTGATGCCCAAATGGTGTATATATAGACTAGAAACATCTAAACACTGTATAAGTTTGACCAGCCTGTCATTATTGAGTGTGATGTATGGCTACTACTTGGAACACTCAGATACTTCATAAGTCTGACTGACATGGCACATCTATTTATTTATTCCACAGGTTTTACGTCCAATATTACAGCCTTTCGGCGGACAAGAAAAACAGGATGCGATGGAAGAGAGTGGAATACAGAGATGATGTAGAGAGGGGCGTCCATGCTACCTAACCTCTTCTTAAACTATAATTCAGAAGACGACTCCTTAGCCCTAGCCTAATAAACACTAAACACTTCGCAGCAAGTCTAGAAGACCAGTTAAGCCTAAACACAGAGAGGAAGAGGAAGTGGATTACTATGTATTGTATTTATAGACAAGTGGCACCTAAATATAATGTATGGGAATTATCTTTCGTACAAATTTTAAGAAAAGTTATGATTCCAAGGCAATCTAGAATCCATTAGAACAGTCGATGATCAGTTAAATTGTAATGTGGGCGGATGGATTGGTCAAATGATTTTCACAATTTGGATATTGACGCCTCTACGTGTACGGAGTACACGTGCTAAAATAGTAGGAATCGCAATTTTCATGATACCATCGTTCGTACTTTCCGTTTTCCAGAATACTTTGACATCTCCAGAAGCAATATAAAGCTGTACATATGGATCAGGTCTCTTTCATAAGTTTCGTTTTCTAAATTCCCGGGTTTTCACACACAAACTTTTCTACCTTTCAACACAAAAGATTTCCAAAATATTGCTAAATATTTTTATCTAATTTATCTACAAATATATTCAATAAGATAGTGCGAGGAAGTTTGCTTATTGATATTTATTTAGACAATAAAATCATATAATCCACCGAATTCGCTGATTTAAAAAGTCTCGAAGTTGCGATATCGCATGGCAGCCGCCATATTTGGATGGACAACCATAAGTTCGCGTACGGGGCAACCTAAGAAACTGTGAATTTAGCATTACTCTGTCATCATTTGCTATTTTGTCTGATGCAAGATATAGTTTCACATAAAACCGTTATCAACCGTTAGTTTTAAACAATGGATCCTGCCGATAGTACGACTTCCTCACTTGGGACAACTGGAGATACAGGCCACCTCTTGCAGGAGCTTATCAACTTACAAAAATCCCACGGTTTGTTTTGGGTTTTTGTGCACTCGACACTTTTATTTTGATACTCTTTGCTTTTTTAACACTTATATGTTTTTATAAAGATACATCCGTGTCAGTTTCCGAGGCATTGGTTGTTATTTTAAGTGTAGCTAATTTTTTACCCTTTCATTTTCGCCGAAAACAAAAAAAATCGTTCCGCGGCAATATAACTGAAACTGAAACAGGTCATATACCAAGCCCAGTTCCTTCACAGGTAGATGTTTTTGACTTTATAGGCTTACGTTCGTAAATTAGCCATCCAAGATACATATTACGGATAACCCATTGATTCTCTTCTAATGGAATCTTTGTTTGAATTTAATGGAAAGGAATTGATAAAATCAACAACACAACCAAAAAGACAGAGTGGGTCCAGCATTGAATAACCCTTTGTTTCCCTGTGAATTTTTACAGTGTTAACAGATAACTTTATGAAATGGCAGGAAAGAGATGTACCAGATTATAAATTGGTTTATATCTCATCAGTATCTCTGTGAAAACAGCAAGTAATGGCAACAAGAGTGAGCATCCAGACCCACCTAACCCGTGCACAAACACAAAATATAGATCTTTTGCTGTTTTAATCTGAATTCTTCTCAATGACTTGCATAATCTTAGGAAAGACATGTTGTGAACATTTACAGCTATATTAAAATCACATGTTACTGTTATATTTTTGGAGGTAGGTTTAAACGCCACCAGTGTAATGACGGATATCAATAGAAGTTGGAACTTGTGATCGCCCCAATTAAAATATCAGTTATCTAAAATGTTGTTGTGATTTCATTTCATATAAAAATGTCAAAAACTCTTTAACACAAAATCAACAAAAGACATTTTAGACCAATACTGTGGCAGAAATACATGAGATGAATTAATTAATTTTTTATATTAGCATTGAATAACCCTGAAGAATCATGAATCAAAATGCATTTCTATGGGAGGGTAAATGTAGACCAATATTTTGGTTTGAGCTGTATTTTGTTAAATATTTCAAATCCAATTTTGATTGAGTACATTTGTTTTAAGATATGATTCTGTCAGAGTCGGCAAAAAAATGAATTATGCAAACATTTGGGGGACTGACATTTATTTTACAATGATCATGTGCAGATGTATGCAGGATTCAGATTACCATGGTAGTTTGAGGCTTTTCTTATTAGAAAAGTGTCAACATACATCCCATAATCATCTTGTATCATGAGTGGAGAAATCATTTTTTTTTTGTGGAATGAGAACCGAAAATTGAATAAGTGTGTGAGCACTGCAGGTCTCGTTCCAAAACTGGTGAAGTTATTATAATTAGTCTAGATGAGATCACACACACAGTATACAAGAGTCTTATAGGATCAATCCTAATTAGTGAAACAAACTCCAAAGTTATGCAATTTATGAATGACGTTTTGTCTACAATGCAGCAGCTTATCTACTGGGACACAATACATGTACACATTACTTATTTATTCAGGAAGAAAGCTGGCACTTTTTATAAAAAATTCCTTGACTGTGATATGAACTAGCATTTTTAATGTTTTATCAAAGATCTTGATAGTTCCTCTAAATATGTTCCATATTCTTGGTTGGGCATATGCTGTAACCCTTTCCTTTCATAATTTGGTAATTTCTGGATCGTTTTTGGTCAATTAATTTTTTCCAACAGTTATGGCCATATAAATTTAGTAATTTTGATAACTGTTTTCACAGAAATGGTAAGGCCAATATCAGAAAGCCTTGTCCAACTCCAGTGGGAATTGCAGATTTTTTTTTTCATGTGTCATTAGCACACATCTTAACAAAGCTACAATTACATTAAAAAGTTTCGAACTTCTCCTTGGTTGGGGGTGGGGATATTCGTGTTACTCCAAATATAGTTATTTAGAAATACATATATAAAATGCATGGAGCTTAGTTATGTGTAGACACTGATGAAGTTATTGTACTTCATGATATGCATGATAACATGGTTAACATATTGTTTGTTTGGTTATAGTGATGTCTTCTGGGAATGTGACCGGATCTCTACCAATACATGAAAGGTAATGTCTATTTTAAGAAGATATATCCTGGAGCTGGCATTGTCTTCATGTGTGATGGCTTTTATGTATAATTATTACATATCTAGTACCAGAGCTATCCATGGTCTAGACTTAAGGACTCTAGTAACTAATCTATTGGAGTATTTGCTATACACGATAATGTAATTATAAAATGTTATATTAATGTATATGGAATCTTACACAAGTTTTCTTTTGATTTGTGGATTTATGAAACCATTCCAAGAATTTTTTCATTTTAGTGAGCCTTTTGCAAGCTAAAATAAAATTTATTGAAGAGTTTTATAAATCAAATATCACTTGGAAACAAATTTAATATCCTTTTGATCACAGGATCAATTTTTTCTAGCAAATTGGTAAAAAAATGGAGTCATGTCTGTTCTCTCTATGTATATATGGTCTCCATTGTAACATCACCATGTCATCTGAATATTGCATATGTATAATGAGCAGAAATACAACATGGGTATACACACTGGATACCAATCATGTGATAAAGGTATCTATAAGGTAAACCGAAGGTAAATGACATGTTCAGGAACACACTGATTTTTGTGACTCAAATATTTGAGTCCTGGACTCATGATTTTTCTTTGAGACTCGCTCAAAATTCGATAATTTACTCATTGTCTTTGTAACTGGACTCATCATAATTTTGGTGTTATGGACTCAGCAGATAAACTTCTACAAAGAAAATACATTGTTTGATGGTGTTACATTCCTGTATAGTATTACATTGGGAAGCATACATTATTCTTGTACACATGCTGAATTTGATTGCAAGTAACATTATTTTCCAACTTTAAAGTCTTAAAGCCGACTCCATAGAAAAGAAAGAACATCATTATTACAATAAATCTGTTATATCTGACCTAATAATAAAACTAGTATACCAGTGGACACTCTATCTGGAAATTCTTCAATCAGGAAGTTACTGTCACTTATAGACCGATAAGTATTTTGCTCTACAGATTATGAACAGATAAGTATTAGAACAATAGATTTTGTATATATATATATAGATAAATATATTCTTTTCATTTATTATAAGAAATTTAAATCATAAATCTCAATCCCCCAACTTCATCTTTATCTCTTTACAGTATGGATCCAGGAAATTCTGGAGATGGAACAGCGGGTAATCCTACCCTGACAGAACTGATGAAGACAATATACGATGCCCCTGCTCCACGCCAGTTAATGTAAATATAGCTGTTTATAGGTCTAACAGAGTACAAGAAAGTTTTCTCTATAATCCGTTTATCAGCAGGAATTTCAGATAATCTTCATACAATTTTTTCTCAATAATGATAAGACGTTTTTTCAACTTGTCAGTATCAGCATGATTTCCATGCTTTTTTTAAAAATTTAATTTGATATTTTCATTTTTCTTATTATTACACTTTTGCTAAAATCCTTCGCTTCTTGATACTTGTTTATATTTAGAATGTTTCAGAGTGACAATAATTTAACAAAGTCCGCCCCAATATGATTTCTTACACTGCAGTGTTATATCTGCTGATCTAGAACATGTGTTTTTCCAGTACACTTCAAGGATCTGATACAGTGAATAGCTTCAGTGTATATGGTCGAGAGGTGGACATAATGGCCAGTAAGGGCAGCAGTGGCATTGTAACAGGATCAGGTGGGATGTCACAGGCCACGACAGGCAGCAATAAGGTAGGTCACAGGCCACCACAGGCATCAATAAGGTAGGTCACAGGCAGCAATAAGGTAGATCATAGGCCACGACAGGCAGCAATAAGGTAGGTCACAGGCCACCACAGGCAGAAATAAGTTAGGTCACAGGCCACCACAGGCAGCAATAAGGTAGGTCACAGGCCACGACAGGCAGAAATAAGGTAGGTCACAGGCCACGACAGGCAACAATAAGGTAGGTCACAGGCCACGACAGGCAGCAATAAGGTAGGTCACAAGCCATGACAGGCAGCAATAAGGTAGGTCACAAGCCACCACAGGCAGCAATAAGGTAGGTCACAGGCCACAACAGGCAGCAATAAGTTAGGTCACAGGCCACCACAGGCAGCAATAAGGTAGGTCACAGGCCACCACAGGCAGCAATAAGGTAGGTCACAAGCCACAACAGGCAGCAATAAGTTAGGTCACAAGCCACCACAGGCAGCAATAAGTTAGGTCACAGGCCACCACAGGCAGCAATAAGGTAGGTCACAGGCCACCACAGGCAGCAATAAGGTAGGTCACAGGTCATGACAGGCAGCAATAAGGTAGGTCACAGGCCACCACAGGCAGGAGAAAGGTAGGTCACAGGCCACCACAGGCAGCAGAAATGTAGGTCATAGGCCACAACAGGCAGCAACAAGGTAGGTCACAGGTCATGACAGGCAGCAATAAGGTAGGTCACAGGTCATGACAGGCAGTAATCAGGTAGGTCACAGGTCATGACAGGCAGTAATCAGGTAGGTTACAGGCAATGACAGGCAGCAGTAAGGTAGGTCACTGACCAAGATAGGCAGCAGTAAGATAGGTCAATGACCAAGACAGGCAAAAATAAGGTTCGTCACAGACCATGTTACAAAATCAAATGTCATTATTGATATATGTGAGGTTTGTCAGAGGCTGCAAGGTAATTAGTCTGGTGTTTATTTACAGGTGAAGATAACTCCTGTGGTGAAGTATGATTGGGAACAGCTCCACTACATTGGTAACCTGGTGGCAATACACAAAAACAGTTTGTATGCAGCATATACTCTCAGAGGTAAGAAATATCTTAGTTATCACAATTTATCATTTATCACTGTTAGTTATCACAATTTATCATCTATCACTGTTAGTTATCACAATTTATCATCTATCACTGTTAGTTATCACAATTTATCATTTATCACTGTTAGTTATCACAATTTATCATTTATCACTGTTAGTTATCACAATTTATCATTTATCACTGTTAGTTATCACAATTTATCATTTATCATTGTTAGTTATCACAATTTATCATCTATCACTGTTAGTTATCACAATTTATCATTTATCACTGTTAGTTATCACAATTTATCATTTATCATTGTTAGTTATCACAATTTATCATATATCACTGTTAGTTATCACAATTTATCATTTATCACTGTTAGTTATCACAATTTATCATTTATCACTGTTAGTTATCACAATTTATCATTTATCACTGTTAGTTATCACAATTTATCATTTATCACTGTTAGTTATCACAATTTATCATTTATCACTGTTAGTTATCACAATTTATCATTTATCACTGTTAGTTATCACAATTTATCATTTATCACTGTTAGTTATCACAATTTATCATTTATCACTGTTAGACCAGAAAACACCTGTCAGACACTAGACCAGAAAACACCTGTCAGACACTAGACCAGAAAACACCTGTCAGACACTGGACCAGAAAACACCTATCAGACACCTGGTCAAATCTGGTGACATAATAGCACATCAAGCTCAGGCTACAGTGATAACATGTAATACAGAATTAGCTTTGTTGTGTCCGTACTATACAAGTTCTCAGAAAGTCATTATTTGTATTCTTAGGTAAATCAGGTGGCATTGTACGAATCATTAATCGCCGGACAGCTGAACGGGTCCTGTTAAAGGATTTCACTGGCAAGGTTATAGACATAGCCTTTGCTCACACAGATGACGTCATTTTTGGTGCTGTGGATGAGGTCGGCAATCTCTTTGTATACAGTATTAAAGAAACAGATTCCGACAAACTGATGTATCCTTTTACATTGAAAAATCTGAACAAAGAAAACCTGTTACATATGAATAACAATTTCATCATCTTTTAGTATACAAGACTTCGCAACCATTTCTTCCAAGGCATGAAATTTTAAATACTTTATAAGGCCCTTTTCTTTTTCCAAAACCAAAGACTTTCCATTCAAACTTTCACTACTGTAGGTAAGATTTCTCATCCAAATTTTCACTACATAAGACTACATGCAATATATCAAAGTGCAAGACTTCACATCCAATTTTTTATCTTAGGTTAGAAAAAAGTTGAAAAAGAAAGCTTGTCAAAGCCTTAACTTCATTAGAACTAACCTTGTCCTTCATGTCCGTCGTGATAAAGAGGCACCTCGCACCGAGTACCACCGCCTGATCTGGTGCCCATTCATCCCAGATGATTCAGACGATAGCAGTGTAACTGAGTCCTCCACACAGGATGCCTCAAGAGTGCTTGTTCTTACTCACAATGAGAAGGTATTACCGACAAAAAAGATGTCAGTTGTATTGTTTTGTACCTTAGAAATGATTCTCAAATCAAATACAGAAAGTGACATCAGCACACCACTAGATATTCTCTTATAACCCCTGTATTAGATTGGGACATCACTTATAACCCCTGTATTAGATTGGGACATCCCCACATCAATGGGCCTTCTCTTGTAACCCCTGTATTAGATTGTGACATCACCACATCAATGGACCTTCTCTTGTAACCCCTGTATTAGATTGTGACATCCCCACATCAATGGACCTTCTCTTGTAACCCCTGTATTAGATTGTGACATCCCCACATCAATGAACCTTCTCTTATAACCCCTGTATTAGATTGTGACATCCCTACATCAGTGGGCCTTCTCTTGTAACCCCTGTATTAGATTGTGACATCCCCCACATCAGTGGGCCTTCTCTTGTAACTCCTGTATTAGATTGTGACATCCCCACATCAGTGGGCCTTCTCTTGTAACCCCTGTATTAGATTGTGACATCCCCACATCAGTGGGCCTTCTCTTATAACCCCTGTATTAGATTGTGACATCCCCACATCAATGGACCTTCTCTTGTAACCCCTGTATTAGATTGTGACATCCCCACATCAGTGGGCCTTCTCTTGTAACCCCTGTATTAGATTGTGACATCCCCACATCAGTGGGCCTTCTCTTATAACCCCTGTATTAGATTGTGACATCCCTACATCAGTGGGCCTTCTCTTATAACCCCTGTATTAGATTGTGACATCCCCACATCAATGGACCTTCTCTTGTAACTCCTGTATTAGATTGTGACATCCCCACATCAGTGGGCCTTCTCTTGTAACTCCTGTATTAGATTGTGACATCACCACATCAACGGATATTCTCTTGTAACTCCTGTATTAGATTGTGACATCCCCACATCAGTGGGCCTTCTCTTGTAACCCCTGTATTAGATTGTGACATCCCCACATCAATGGACCTTCTCTTGTAACCCCTGTATTAGATTTTGACATCCCCACATCAATGGACCTTCTCTTGTAACCCCTGTATTAGATTGTGACATCCCCACATCAATGGGCCTTCTCTTGTAACTCCTGTATTAGATTGTGACATCCCCACATCAGTGGGCCTTCTCTTGTAACCCCTGTATTAGATTGTGACATCCCCACATCAGTGGGCCTTCTCTTGTAACTCCTGTATTAGATTGTGACATCCCCACATCAGTGGGCCTTCTCTTGTAACTCATGTATTAGATTGTGACATCCCCACATCAGTGGGCCTTCTCTTGTAACCCCTGTATTAGATTGTGACATCCCCACATCAATGGACCTTCTCTTGTAACCCCTGTATTAGATTATGAAGGTAAGAAAATTTAATGGAGGACTGATCTGTGTTCCTGGTCTCATCAGGGGCTGGGTAAAAACATGTGTATTTTATGGAGAACTAATCTCCTGAATATTAGTACACATTGCACAAATCTTTGAAAATGAACATCATTTGATGAAAAATTATAAAATAAGTTTTACGAAATACATTTCTCGTCTTTGTTAAAAAAAAAATTTAGGAATGAGAAGGTGGAAACTGAATGATTGTCCTAGTACATATTATAGACATGTTATTGATCAACAGGCAGAGATCTGGAATGTGGACCTGGTGACTAAGGAATATTCTAGTGGTCCACTGGTGGTACACGAAGTGCAGTTTGGACTGATTCTCATCGACAGTCATAAACAGGTAAATAATTGTATACCTTGATGATACTTGAAAAGCATCTCCTTTTCTCAATAAGGGGCTGTGGTAGTTCATCACTATCTACCTGTGGAGGTCTGTAGTTCATCACTACCTACCTGTGGAGGTCTGTAGTTCATCACTAAATACCTGTGGAGGTCTGTAGATCATCACTACCCACCTGTGGAGGTCTGTAGATCATCACTACCTACCTGTGGAGGTCTGTAGTTTATCACTACCTACCTGTGGAGGTCTGTAGTTCATCACTACCTACCTGTGGAGGTCTATAGTTCATCACTACCCACCTGTGGAGGTCTGTAGATCATCACTACCTACCTGTGGAGGTCTGTAGTTTATCACTACCTACCTGTGGAGGTCTAGATCATCACTACCTACCTGTGGAGGTCTGTAGTTCATCACTACCTACCTGTGGAGGTCTGTAGTTCATCACTACCTACCTGTGGAGGTCTGTAGTTCATCACTACCTACCTGTGGAGGTCTGTAGTTCATCACTACCTACCTGTGGAGGTCTGTTGTTCATCACTACCTACCTGTGGTGGTCTGTAGTTCATTACTACCTACCTGTGGAGGTCTGTAGTTCATCACTACCCACCTGTGGAGGTCTATAAATCATCACTATCTACCTGTGGAGGTCTGTAGTTCATCACTACCTACCTGTGGAGGTCTGTAGTTCATTACTACCTACCTGTGGAGGTCTGTAGATCATCACTACCTACCTGTGGAGGTCTGTAGATCATCACTACCCACCTGTGGAGGTCTGTAGTTCATCACTACCCACCTGTGGAGGTCTGTAGATCATCACTACCTACCTGTGGAGGTCTGTAGTTCATCACTACATATCTGTGGAGGTCTGTAGTTCATCACTACCAACCTGTGGAGGTCTGTAGTTCATCACTACCTACCTGTGGAGGTCTGTAGATCATCACTACCTACCTGTGGAGGTCTGTAGTTCATCACTACCTACCTGTGGAGGTCTGTAGATCATCACTACCTACCTGTGGAGGTCTGTAGATCATCACTACCCACCTGTGGAGGTCTGTAGATCATCACTACCTACCTGTGGAGGTCTGTAGATCATCACTACCTACCTGTGGAGGTCTATAAATCATCACTATCTACCTGTGGAGGTCTGTAGTTCATCACTACCTACCTGTGGTGGTCTGTAGTTTATCACTACCTACCTGTGGAGGTCTGTAGTTTATCACTACCTACCTGTGGAGGTCTGTAGATCATCACTACCTACCTGTGGAGGTCTGTAGATCATCACTACCTACCTGTGGAGGTCTGTAGATCATCACTACCTATCTGTGGAGGTCTGTAGATCATCACTACCTACCTGTGGAGGTCTGTAGTTTATCACTACCTACCTGTGGAGGTCTGTAGATCATCACTACCTACCTGTGGAGGTCTGTAGATCATCAATACCCACCTGTGGAGGTCTGTAGTTCATCACTACCCACCTGTGAAGGTCTGTAGTTCATCACTATCTACCTGTGGAGGTCTGTAGTTTATCACTACCTACCTGTGGAGGTCTGTAGATCATCACTACCCACCTGTGGAGGTCTGTAGTTCATCACTACCTACCTGTGGAGGTCTGTAGATCATCACTACCTACCTGTGGAGGTCTGTAGTTCATCACTACCTACCTGTGGAGGTCTGTAAATCATCATTACCCACTTGTGGAGGTCTGTAGTTCATCACTACCAACCTGTGGAGGTCTGTAGATCATCACTACCTACCTGTGGAGGTCTGTAGTTCATCACTACCTACCTGTGGAGGTCTGTAGTTCATCACTACCTACCTGTGGAGGTCTGTAGTTCATCACTACCTACCTGTGGAGGTCTGTAGTTCATCACTACCTACCTGTGGAGGTCTGTAGTTCATCACTACCTACCTGTGGAGGTCTGTAGTTCATCACTACCTACCTGTGGAGGTCTGTAGTTCATCACTACCTACCTGTGGAGGTCTGTAGATCATCACTACCCACCTGTGGAGGTCTGTAGTTCATCACTACCTACCTGTGGAGGTCTGTAGTTCATCACTACCCACCTGTGGAGGTCTGTAGTTCATCACTACCTACTTGTGGAGGTCAGTAGATCATCACTACCCACCTGTGGAGGTCTGTAGTTCATCACTACCTACCTGTGGAGGTCTGTAGTTCATCACTACCCACCTGTGGAGGTCTGTAGTTCATCACTACCCACCTGTGGAGGTCTGTAGTTCATCACTACCTACTTGTGGAGGTTTGTTTTTCTCAGGACTCTTAACCCTAAATGCACTGAATGACATGTGGTGGGCCTCCTTATGTTGTTCAGTGAGTTTGCTACCACATACCTTAAGTATTAATCATTTCAAATGAGACTGGCTGTTCATGGGTCAATAAATCCATTAAATAAATTCTACATTTTGAAATGTTTTTTTGATTTTCTGAATACCAGGCCATCATGGATGCTGCATTTTCACCTGATGGCACGGCTCTAGCGACGGCCAGTTTGGATGGGGAAGTCAAATTCTTCCAGGTCAATATGGGTGAAAACATGTCTCCAAGGTGAGTATCAAGTTTCTTCTATTCGAAAACAAACAGAGGTGGTAGCTGGTAAAATATTAGGAGTAGGAGCATGTCTGGTGTTAGAGGTGGTAGCTGGTCTGGTGTTAGAGGTGGTAGCTGGTCTGGTGTAAGAGGTGGGAGGGTGTTAGAGCTGGTAGCTGGTCTGGTGTTAGAGGTAGGAGGGTGTTAGAGGTGGTAGCTGGTCTGGTGTTAGAGGTGGGAGGGTGTTAGAGGTGGTAGCTGGTCTGGTGTTAGAGGTGGTAGCTGGTCTGGTGTTAGAGGTGGGAGGGTGTTAGAGGTGGTAGCTGGTCTGGTGTTAGAGGTGGGAGGGTGTTAGAGGTGATAGCTGGTCTGGTGTTAAAGGTGGTAGCTGGTCTGGTGTTAGAGGTGGTAGCTGGTCTGGTGTTAGAGGTTGTTAATGGTCTGGTGTTAGAATTGGTATTTTCTGATTACCTGTTTCTGTGTATGCTGATAAGGAAAAATGATATTTGTCCCATGCTGATTTACCTAAAGAAATAAAATGACTTGAACTTTAATTGTAATTTTCCTGGTTTGGGAATTTGAAAAATATTTTATCCTGGTTTTGGTTCAACCAGTGCACTTTGGTGTTTACCTTTGTAACCTTGTTGATACAGATGTCTACACCAGTGGAAACCTCACGACGGCAAACCACTGTCGAGCCTATTCTTCCTGGATGACCACAAGTACTTCAGTGAGGAGTAAGTATGTCAGATGGCTGACCCTAACAGTTACCTCTGCTTTAAATTGATGTTAACAAAATGGCTTACTTATGTCCTTAAACTTTTATCTGGTATTCCTTCAGAAAACAACGATGAAATATTACGACAATGGCTACATCGTAGCAATACTTACAGTTTTAATATTGTAATGGGAAGTATTGAATTTTTATCCACATCAGAATTTATTAAATACATTAATTGGTAGTGAGGATTGTACGTAATTAATGTATTTCGGTCATTAGGCATTGTTTATATTGTCTATATAATTTTCATTAAAAAGTAAGTAGATATTTCTGTTGTACATACGTGTGATGCAACAAGTTATTCAGCAGGGACACGATTAACTTTTCAGAACTGATCCAATGAAGAAGTCGTGGTAATTTGCACAGAGCACCATGTCTTTCCCTTCATTTTCTGGTTGTTTTTATATGTAATATTAAATGTTATGTGCGATGATGTAGAAATTTTTCTTTCAATTTGAAAATAATTCAATTAATGTGATTAAGAATTCAATTCAAGAAAATAAAATTTTACATTTTGGGTGATCTCTATCAACTAATATTTCTAAATTTTCATCCTGTATGGGAAACACTTTTTGAATATTTGAGTACCTACATGTACCTAACCATGTACTGTTCAGATATTTCTGCAATACCTTAAATTGTACTCAAAATACATTAACTTTATGTATTTTTATGTTAGGTAGATGGGGGTGGATATGGTGGTAGACTATTTAAGTTAAATATTTGTTATAGTTTTTATCATTAAGTTTTTTATTTTGATTCAACCTTCCAATATCATTGTAGTATTTTTTAATTAGATATAAATGAGTGAGTTTTGTTGCCCAGACAGTGACTGTCGTTCAGTCAATTAATTTATGTGTCGTCAGATATGTATTACATGTTTCAATAACATCACAGTTTTTTGTTGAATGTCAAAAAATGTTTCATGTAACAAAGTCAAACAATGAAATCTTCAGTTAACAGAAAAAACATAGCATTGACTAAGATATTGATTTTGGTAAAGAAAATAAAAATTGTAGATAAGAAAATATAATCTTTACAAATTTCTTGTATTTTAAATTACATATTTGTGTATTGTTTTGATGTCATCCACTTTTGTTTTCTTATTTGCTGTGTGGGTTTTATAGAATCATTCTGTCCTATATTCACATCATCTGTACAACAGGAGAGGTGTTTACACTATAATCACACCATCTGTACTACAGGAGAGGTGTTTACACTATTATCACACCATCTGTACAACAGGAGAGGTGTTTACACTATTATCACACCATCTGTACAACAGGAGAGGTGTTTACACTATAATCACACCATCTGTACTACAGGAGAGGTGTTCACTCTATAATCACACCATCTGTACAACAGGAGAGGTGTTTACACTATAATCACACCATCTGTACTACAGGAGAGGTGTTTACACTATAATCACACCATCTGTACTACAGGAGAGGTGTACACATGGTAATCACACCATCTGTACAACAGGAGAGGTGTTTACACTATAATCACACCATCTGTACTACAGGAGAGGTGTTTACACTATAATCACACCATCTGTACAACAGGAGAGGTGTACACACTATAATCACACCATCTGTACAACAGGAGAGGTGTACACATGGTAATCACACCATCTGTACTACAGGAGAGGTGTTTACACTATAATCACACCATCTGTACAACAGGAGAGGTGTACACACTATAATCACACCATCTGTACAACAGGAGAGGTGTACACATGGTAATCACACCATCTGTACTACAGGAGAGGTGTTTACACTATAATCACACCATCTGTACAACAGGAGAGGTGTACACACTATAATCACACCATCTGTACTACAGGAGAGGTGTGTACACTATCATCACACCATCTGTACTACAGGAGAGGTGTTTACACTATAATCACACCATCTGTACTACAGGAGAGGTGTTTACACTATAATCACACCATCTGTACAACAGGAGAGGTGTACACACTATAATCACACCATCTGTACAACAGGAGAGGTGTACACATGGTAATCACACCATCTGTACTACAGGAGAGGTGTTTACACTATAATCACACCATCTGTTCAACAGGAGAGGTGTACACACTATAATCACACCATCTGTACAACAGGAGAGGTGTACACATGGTAATCACACCATCTGTACTACAGGAGAGGTGTTTACACTATAATCACACCATCTGTACAACAGGAGAGGTGTACACATGGTAATCACACCATCTGTACTACAGGAGAGGTGTTTACACTATAATCACACCATCTGTACAACAGGAGAGGTGTACACACTATAATCACACCATCTGTACAACAGGAGAGGTGTACACACTATAATCACACCATCTGTACTACAGGAGAGGTGTACACACTATAATCACACCATCTGTATAACAGGAGAGGTGTTTACACTAATCACACCATCTGTACAACAGGAGAGGTGTTAACACTGTAATCACACCATCTGTACAACAGGAGAGGTGTACACACTATTATCACACCATCTGTACAACAGGAGAGGTGTTTACACTAATCACACCATCTGTACAACAGGAGAGGTGTTTACACTATTATCACACCATCTGTACAACAGGAGAGGTGTTTACACTATTATCACACCATCTGTACAACAGGAGAGGTGTTTACACTATAATCACACCATCTGTACAACAGGAGAGGTGTTTACACTATAATCACACCATCTGTACAACAGGAGAGGTGTTTACACTATTATCACACCATCTGTACAACAGGAGAGGTGTTTACACTATAATCACACCATCTGTACAACAGGAGAGGTGTACACACTATAATCACACCATCTGTACAACAGGAGAGGTGTTTACACTATAATCACACTGTCTGTACTACAGGAGTGGTGTTTTCACACTCTCATGTCTCCTACTGGACTGCTACATGATATCCAGATATTTACACTGTCCTATCAAGGTATCCAGATATTTACACTCCTATCAAGGTATCCAGATATTTACACTCCTATCAAAGTATCCAGATATTTACATTATCATATCTAGATATCCATGTATATTCAGTTATCAGAATTAAGAGAATGTTAATATTTTTAGTTATGTAATATTTGTATAGGATTTTAATTCCATGGTAGTTTCATTCCATAGTAAGCAAAAATAAATGCTTTGAGGTGAGTTTCAAAAATCTCTAATGAAATGAAAACGACTTTAAGATACCATTTAATGCACTACATGATGTGTCACAAAAAGTCTTTTTAAAAATGGATGAAGTATGACTGATTTAAAAGATATTGTAACGTTTGCTTTGTAGCATTAAAGATAGCTCACAGGCCTCCTGTCCTCCTGTCCAGTAGAACTGGGAGGCTATAAAAAGCTCTGATCTCTAAATCTTTTCTATGCTTTGATCACAGTGCCCAGTTTTGGAAATTTGCTGTGACTGGAGCTATGAATAATCAGGAGTTAAAGATCTGGACGTGTGAATCTTGGACCTGTCTACAGACAATCAGGTAGGTTTTACTGGAGATTGTGTCTACAGACAATCAGGTAGGTTTTACTGGAGATTGTGTCTACAGACAATCAGGTAGGTTTTACTGGAGATTGTGTCTACAGACAATCAGGTAGGTTTTACTGGAGATTGTGTCTACAGACCATTAGGTAGGTTTTACTGGAGATTGTGTCTACAGACAATCAGTTAGGTTTTACTGGAGATTGTGTCTACAGACAATCAGGTAGGTTTTACTGGATATTGTGTCTACAGACCATCAGATAGGTTTTACTGGAGATTGTGTCTATAGACCATCAGGTAAGGTTTACTGGAGATTGTGTCTACAGACAATCAGGTAGGTTTTACTGGAGATTGTGTCTACAGACCATCAGATAGGTTTTACTGGAGATTGTGTCTACAGACCATCAGATAAGTTTTACTGGAGATTGTGTCTACAGACCATTAGGTAGGTTTTACTGGAGATTGTGCCTACAGACCATCAGGTAGGTTTTACTGGAGATTGTGTCTACCGACAATCAGGTAGGTTTTACTGGAGATTGTGTCTACAGACCATCAGGTAGGTTTACTGGAGATTGTGTCTACAGACCATCAGGTAGGTTTTACTGGAGACTATAATAAAGAGGATGTAGGTCATAAATGGCAATTTTGTTTTAGTTTCAAGACATGATTAGTATTGAGAAGAATTGGTTACGGGAAGTTGCACTGTATTTTATACATTTACATGTTTTTCTTATAAAATTGTCATAATTTTTTTTACTCTTTTAAATTTCTAGATTTTCCTGCCCACCTGGATTACCATCAAATTTCCAACTTGACCCCTGCATGAAAGCAGCGTTAGATTTGAGTGCTAAATATCTGGTCCTGTCTGATATCCGAAGAAAGGTACATACCTAAAGTTACTGTAGGAAGGAATTATAGGTTTACAGTGTATATACTTATTGGTCCCCCACTGGTACTGTCAGAGGGAATTATAGGTTTACAGTGTATATACTTATTGGTCCCCCACTGGTACTGTCAGAGGGAATTATAGGTTTACAGTGTATATACTTATTGGTAGTCTCCTACTGGTACTGTCAGAGGGAATTATAGGTTTACAGTGTATATACTTATTGGTAGTCCCCTCCTGGTACTGTCAGAGGGAATTATAGGTTTACAGTGTATATACCTATTGGTAGTCCCCCACTGGTACTGTCAGAGGGAATTATAGGTTTACAGTGTATATACTTATTGGTAGTCCCCCACTGGTACTGTCAGAGGGAATTATAGGTTTACAGTGTATATACTTATTGGTCCCCCACTGGTACTGTCAGAGGGAATTATAGGTTTACAGTGTATATACTTATTGGTAGTCCCCCACTGGTACTGTCAGAGGGAATTATAGGTTTACAGTGTATATACTTATTGGTAGTCCCCCACTGGTACTGTCAGAGGGAATTATAGGTTTACAGTGTATATACTTATTGGTCCCCCACTGGTACTGTCAGAGGGAATTATAGGTTTACAGTGTATATACTTATTGGTAGTCCCCCACTGGTACTGTCAGAGGGAATTATAGGTTTACAGTGTATATACTTATTGGTCCCCCACTGGTACTGTCAGAGGGAATTATAGGTTTACAGTGTATATACTTATTGGTAGTCCCCTACTGGTACTGTCAGGGGGAATTATAGGTTTACAGTGTATATACTTATTGGTATTCCCGCACTGGTACTGTCAGAGGGAATTATAGGTTTACAGTGTATATACTTATTGGTCCCCCAATGGTACTGTCAGAGGGAATTATAGGTTTACAGTGTATATACTTATTGGTCCCCCACTGGTACTGTCAGAGGGAATTATAGGTTTACAGTGTATATACTTATTGGTCCCCCTCTGGTACTGTCAGAGGGAATTATAGGTTTACAGTGTATATACTTATTGGTATTCCCGCACTGGTACTGTCAGAGGGAATTATAGGTTTACAGTGTATATACTTATTGGTCCCCCACTGGTACTGTCAGAGGGAATTATAGGTTTACAGTGTATATACTTATTGGTAGTCCCCCACTGGTACTGTCAGAGGGAATTATAGGTTTACAGTGTATATACTTATTGGTATTCCCGCACTGGTACTGTCAGAGGGAATTATAGGTTTACAGTGTATATACTTATTGGTCCCCCACTGGTACTGTCAGAGGGAATTATAGGTTTACAGTGTATATACTTATTGGTCCCCCTCTGGTACTGTCAGAGGGAATTATAGGTTTACAGTGTATATACTTATTGGTAGTCCCCCACTGGTACTGTCCGAGGGAATTATGGGCTTACAATGTAAATACCTAGCTAAATACATGTTTCTTCTCTGAACCAAAATATTGTATTTTTCCCCAAAATTTGATATATAAAATCTCAGTATATTTTTCCAAACTGCGTGAAAAAGATCGCTGAAAATTTTGAATTTCTGTATGCTTGAACACAATAAATATGGAAGTTTCAAAATTAAAGAATTATGTTGCCATGCATTTTAATCTCAGAAAATTGATAATTTTCAATCTGTTAGCTATCATATGGATACAGGAAGTTTGCAGGAAATACAGTGAACAGGAGTTCTTGTTAAATGCCATCTTATTTGACCTAGTTCTCACATCTCATGAGAGTTTCAAAACCAGCTTGAGTTATCTCCCTTGAAATTTTGTGAATGTGTACAAATTGATGTTTTTATTTTGATCTCTTTAAATACCAAAATAAGATCATTGTTTTACCCACAAAATATTAATTTTTGTGTCAAGTTGATCCCCAAAATTAAGTTTTTTGGGGTTCCTGTTTAACCATCCACCTGTATAATTCAAGTTGTAACTACGCCATTCTCACATAAACGTATTTTAGTGTTGTACAAACCACCCACAAAAACTAATTGATCTGCTGACCGATGCCTGCTCATATTTACCTCTAGAACTGCCTTTATAGAGGTTGATACAACGGTATCTGTTAATATTAGGTAATATCTCGAACGTTTTGTATTGTAGGTACTGTATGTGTTACAAATACATCAGGAGAGTGATGTGTTGTAGGTACTGTATGTGTTACAAATACATCAGGAGAGTGACATGTTGTAGTTACTGTATGTGTTACAAATACATCAGGAGAGTGATGTGTTGTAGGTACTGTATGTGTTACAAATACATCAGGAGAGTGACATGTTGTAGGTACTGTATGTGTTACAAATACATCAGGAGAGTGACATGTTGTAGGTACTGTATGTGTTACAAATACATCAGGAGAGTGATGTGTTGTAGGTACTGTATGTGTTACAAATACATCAGGAGAGTGATGTGTTGTAGGTACTGTATGTGTTACAAATACATCAGGAGAGTGATGATGTGTTGTAGGTACTGTATGTGTTACAAATACATCAGGAGAGTGATGTGTTGTAGGTACTGTATGTGTTACAAATACATCAGGAGAGTGACTCTAACACTGCCCACATCAGCTCGGTGTCCGAGTTTCTACTTGCCCAGCCATGTCTAAGCTTTGCTATAATGGATGCGAGCAAGAAAAAGTTTAAAAAATCTGTCACAGAGGATGATTCTCACCTGGATGACATCACCACAGGTATGAAGTATTCTGACTGATCTGTTGTACAAATCACCTTTATCTTTGGTTCGTCGGACATCTGTCCATAGATAATGATTATATCACTATTTCTGGAGAAGTACAATTTGCAAAGTAGGTTTGCCATGATCTCTAGATATGCTTGTTTATTTTCTTTAAACTATTGTAGCTCTGTAAAGGGGTAGTACTTTGTTATATGAAAAGGATTCTGATATTGTCAAAGAGAACAGAACTTGATGAATTAAGAAGTAATATTTGAAGCATTTCTGTTTTTGTGTTGTAGGTGAACTTGAGCGAGAGGAAAATGAGGATGGTGATAGCAAAATGGAATGTGGTACTACGTCAGGTGTTCAAATTAAGTTATACACTGTCCACCCCAAGTAAGTGTTTACCTCTTACCATCCCCGACCAATGTCTAATTACAAGATGGCAGCCCCTTGTGTTCCAATTTTCTTTGGGCCAGTCTTAGGCTTTCTATATTGACCCAATCTGATTAAAATGCAGATCCTTATTACTACTCCTCTACACAAAGGATCTCACAACATTCCACAAGAGGTCATGTTCTGGTGACCTTTCCATGATCTGTGCTTCAGAGGCATGACAAATTGTCTACATTGTAAATCTGAATTACAGGGAACAATTTGTCTCAATATATAATACACACTTGATGTGATGAAAAGACTTAAATTCTTTACATAGAAAAACAATTATGCAAGCTATTTTGCCCACTTTCATTCACTTTCAAGATTCTGGTAATTTGATTGGCTGATGCAAAAGGTCACCAGAACATGACCCCTTATGGGATGTTGCCAGATCCTATATATGCAGAGAGTAACAGAAGAAAAAATAGGATCTGCATTTGATTCAGATGGATATTGAAGGTGATGTTCACTAAAAGCTCAATATAACACCAAGACTAAATGTACAAATGTTCTGCATTGCTTATATTAATGTTCTTTTTATAAATTGTATAATTTTTATAAATTGATGCAGGGCCATATTGTATACTAGATCAAAGATACTAGCCTGGATTTTATGTAAAAATACCAGACAAGGAAGGATGGTTAGTGTTTTTGTCCCCGTGGATTCTATGTAAAACACACCAGCCAAGGAATGCTGGTTAGTGTTTTTGTCCCCGTGGATTCTATGTAAAACACATCAGACAAGGATTGATGGTAAGTGTTTTTGTCCCAGTGGATTCTATGTAAAACACACCAGACAAGGAATGCTGGTTAGTGTTTTTGTCCCCGTGGATTCTATGTAAAACACACCAGACAAGGAATGCTGGTTAGTGTTTTTGTCCCCGTGGATTCTATGTAAAACACACCAGACAAGGAATGATGGTTAGTGTTTTTGTCCCAGTGGATTCTATGTAAAACACACCAGACAAGGAATGATGGGTAGTGTTTTTGTCCCAGTGGATTCTATGTAAAACACACCAGACAAGGAATGATGGGTAGTGTTTTTGTCCCCGTGGATTCTATGTAAAACACACCAGACAAGGAATGATGGGTAGTGTTTTTGTCCCAGTGGATTCCACAGTTAGTGTCTACTGATTTCCTGAATCTGTTTATTTGTAGAACCCTACAAGAGTGACGAATTGCACTTTCTACTTAATTCTAGAACTCTTCAGCAGTTATGCTTTTCTACTTTTTCCAGGACCCTACAAGAGTGACGAATTGCACTTTCTACTTAATTCTAGAACTCTTCAGCAGTTATGCTTTTCTACTTTTTCCAGGACCCTACAAGAGTTACAAATTCGTTTCCGCCCGGAGTCGTCAGCTCCTCCACTGCCCACACCATCAGTCAGCACCATATCTCATGATGATACAGGTAACAACCAAAGTGTGTTTACTAGTTATATATAGCTGGTTCTCATAGATAGCTCACTAGGGCTAGAGGTAGACTAGCAGTTGTCTTATAAAATGATTTTTTCAGTGTCTTTGGAATAGAAATCTTTTGCATGGATTTTAATTCAAATGGACATCACAGTAAACAGATATATTAGAAATTGAAAGGACATGTTGTTTACACTCCTAATTATGTATAGATATTATCACAATACTCCATCATTTATGTCCAGTTTGACCGCTGAAATTAGACAGGAAACACCAATATATAACCCCAAAAACATACATAGCACATAACAAATTGTAAAACAAGGCAGATTCATTTGATAAAGATAGACACACACTTGTGCTAAACAATGTTTTACACTGTCTATAACAGCTTAAATTCTACTTTAAAACATTTATCATTTCACTGTCACAATTCGCCGCTCTGGGGTCCTCATCCCGGGTACATTATGTAATTACATGTTAATTTTACTAGCACATGGACAGTCAATTTGAAATCATTCCATCTTACGTTCAGAATTAATTTCCTTTTCTTTAGACTATCGTTGCATCATTTGCCATCTTTCTGGCATGAAACTGCTGGTGAAAGTGTTTGACAGTTAGACATTTTAGCTTACAGAGTGTGTTGTCCACATGCACCATCATATATCTTGCAAAAAATTTGCATATCCTTTGAGTTATCAATACTGATTCCTTTCTATGTTAATTACTATAATTATGAATCAATATCTGTATATATATATATTTTAGCAAAAACCATCCATCATTTAATCCATTATTAAGGTTCTGTGCTATTTAAATATTGTGGGTAAGAGTTACTTCCCTTTGGCCTTCAGAATCGCCTGTTATCATTGCTCATGTTTTTAAATAACTTTTAAATCTGTCACCTTTAAGTATGTATTATAACCAAAATTTGATATTAAAACAGTTTGGTAGGAAATTTGTATAGCAAATTTTATGTTGTTCGTATATAATTAATTACTTAAACTTTTGATAACATTATCCCAAAATTAACCTCAATTCATTTACTTTACAAAATATAACAGATGACAGGAATATAAGATTTATTTACCTGTCAATTCATCTTAACCTAATCATTAAAATATAGCATCAGTACATCACATTTAGGACAAGTCTGGTGTCATCTCCATGTTACAATATACCATCAGTACATCACATTTAGGACAAGTCTGGTGTCATCTCCATGTTACAATATACCATCAGTACATCACATTTAGGACAAGTCTGGTGTCATCACCATGTTACAATATACCATCAGTACATCTCGTGTCATCACCATGTTACAATATACCATCAGTACATCACACTTAGGACAGGTCTGGTGTCATCACCATGTTACAATATACCATAAGTACATCTCGTGTCATCACCATGTTACAATATACCATCAGTACATCACACTTAGGACAAGTCTGGTGTCATCATCATGTTACAATATACCATCAGTACATCTCGTGTCATCACCATGTTACAACATACCATCAGTACATCACACTTAGGACAAGTGTGGTGTCATCATCATGTTACAATAAACCATCAATCAGATCACATGTTTAAAAAGTGTTCTGGAATGATTTTTCATTGAGATGAGCTGGAAAGTTAACAAAATTGTGTACACGTTTTTTGTGTGAAATTTTCATTGACAGGCAAACGTAGAATGAAGGGTAATTTTACACGTAGAAATGCAGGGCTTTTCCTGTCTTTCAGGCAAATTATAGCACCATCCTTTATCAGCATTTTTACCGTTTTTCTTCCGATATCGAAAAAAATTCATAACCTGAACTCTCTAAAAATGAAAGAAAAATTTGTAAAAAAATAATAGAATGATGGTTTAAGCCAATGGATTAGTATGAAATTATTATTTTCTCTGTGAAAAAAATGCTGATTTGCCAAGGAAGTGCCCTGTTATGTGTTGCTAATAAGTAGTAAATTGTGTGGATGTGTCAACTAGAAGTACATCATTGTCATCAACATTTTGCCTCGGGTGCTGGATAAAGCTAAGCTTCTGTAGCATTGACTGTTTGTGGACCTTTATGGTTACTGCGGTAACAACAGACTTTTCAAAGTGAAATGAGCCATCATACATTTATAGGAGTAAATGACAGTTCATTCTATCATGTTGTCATCAAATGTAATGTCATTTAATGTTTTATAAATGTTTATCATATATTCAGGGTGTGATATTTACCATTTAAATCATGAATTTCTCCTTATTTTTATCTTTTCAAACACATTCTTTGTTTTCCACTTTTATTTTCAATTCTGAAAGTCAGAAAAATTATTTTAGTGAGGTATTAAATTTTTCTCATTCCTTTATTTTCTGTTTTTTTTTCTCTTCGCTTTTCATCTGTACTACAGCACTCTGGCTTTAGAAGATTTTGATGTACATGATTTTGTTGTGTCTTCTGCACATAACCTTTACTCCCTTTGGACATGACCTTTACTCCCTCTGTACATGACCTTTACTCCCTCTGTACATGACCTTTACTCCCTCTGTATATGACCTTTACTCCCTCTGCACATGACCTTTACTCCCTATGCACATGACCTTTACTCCTCTGCACACTGCCCCTGCTACATAAGCACTTACAGAAATCATGGATTTCTTGAACAGATTTGATGTACAGTCTGGATTAAGTTCATTTAATCCTTTGAAAATTACAGTGGCCTCTGATAGTATGTCATTCATGAAATGTTGATTTAGTTATTGATTAATAGATTTAAACACTCAACAAGTATGTCGTTAAACCTCGTCACTATTTACATTAGGAAACATGATCTTTTTAATCAAACATGATAACTAGCACAAGATTAACACTGTCATTTATTTAACCATTTATGTATAAACAACAGACTTTTTTCATGCATTTTGTGAACTAGACTCAGTCTGGTATATCAGTGTATGTCAATGAAGGAGAAGAAAAAGAGTCAGTTACAACACTACTATGTAGATGGAGATATCTCACCCCAACAGCTGAGATTTTTAATGCGGAGAGCCTCAGTTTGGGCAGTAGGACCTTGCACTCCATGAAGATTAATAGCCTATGTGTTTTACTGTGTAACGTCCCCCCCATATATATATATATATACAGACTAGATCACAGCTGTCACTGGAATCCTATACAGGATCACTTCACATATTATATTGACCACCTACACAGGGCTAAGTGCCTTAGTTTTCATGGTATCAGGTATTTTTCTTCTCAGTTTATTTTTCTTCTGACTTAATTGCCTTGGTTCACTTTTAAGTCAAGTAAGTTTTAGTCCCGTGTATTGTGTACTATGTATGATGTAATGTGGTCGTCATCCGTGTAATATTGTATCTGACTGCAGTATTAGAAGATTGTATAGGGCTGATCATATACAAGTAATGGGGATATATAAACTAATAGTTTTAGTTTGTTTAAAATACTGCATACTACACCAGCTAATAACGACATAGAGGCTTAATAATATCTGTTGTGGGAGTTTATCAATTCTTTATCAATAAAGTAGGGGCTTAATGATATCTGTTATTGGAGTTTATCAATTCTTTATCAATAAAGTAGGGGATTAATAATATCTATTCTGGGAGTTTATCAATTCTTTATCAGTAAAGTAGAGGCTTAATAATATCAGTTATGAGAGTTTATCAATTCTTTATCAATAAAGTAGGGACTTAATAACATCTGTTCTGGGAGTTTATCAATTCTTTATCAATAAAGTAGAGGCTTAATAATATCTGTTATGAGAGTTTATCAATTCTTTATCAATAAAGTAGAGGCTTAATAATATCTGTTATGAGAGTTTATCAATTCTTTATCAATAAAGTAGGGACTTAATAATATCTGTTATTGGAGTTTATCAATTCTTTATCAGTTAAGTAGAGGATTAATAATATCTATTCTGGGAGTTTATCAATTCTTTATTAATAAAGTAGAGGCTTAATAATATCTGTTATTGGAGTTTATCAATTCTTTATCAATTAAGTACAGGATTAATAATATCTATTCTGGGAGTTTATCAATTCTTTATTAATAAAGTAGAGGCTTAATAATATCTGTTCTGGGAGTTTATCAATTCTTTATCAATAAAGTAGGTGCTTAAAAATAACTGTTCTGGGAGTTTATCAATTCTTTATCAATAAAGTAGGGGCTTAATAATATCTGTTCTGGGAGTTTATCAATTCTTTATCAATAAAGTAGGGGATTAATAATATCTGTTCTGGGAGTTTATCAATTCTTTATCAATAAAGTAGGGGATTAATAATATCTATTCTGGGAGTTTATCAATTCTTTATCAATAAAGTAGGGGATTAATAATATCTATTCTGGGAGTTTATCAATTCTTTATCAATAAAGTAGGGGCTTAATAATATCTGTTCTGGGAGTTTATCAATTCTTTATCAATAAAATACTTTTGTTAGTGGTCCTGATTTGTGCTTGAACAGAAAATGTGCATGCATGTCTAGCTTTATGTGGCCTTAATGGTGATTTGCTTCTCCTGGAGATTCTATCAGTTTGTTACAGTTTAATGTGAAATCATGAATTTTCATTTTTTTTATTTTAGAATTATAGAAATACAGTGTTAAGTACTACATTAGTATTCATTTCATTGACCACAGTTTTACTGTTAAAAGGTCAATAAATTGAATCATGAAATTGGATATCATTTCTATGTTATATATAATTAAAGCATTGTCAAAATTGGCTGAAGTTCAGATTGAATTATTCTACCAGGAAATGAACAAACATTGTTGCATGCCATTCAGAAAAGAAGCGTTGCTTAGCTGTGTTGTTTTTTGTTGTGACTGACCCAGATCTCTCAGCCCTATATTTGTACTTTAAAAAAGTGTTTTTCTCCAGGTTGGATGTCTTGATTGCATGATAAGGACCTGAAAAATGATACATTTAGTCCTAACACTTAATTCTTATTCCTTCAAACAGGCATGTGATACATTTAGTCCTAACATTTAATTCTTATTCCTTCAAACAGGCATGTGATACATTTAGTCCTAACATTTAATTCTTATTCCTTCAAACAGGCATGTGATACATTTAGTCCTAACATTTAATTCTTATTCCTTCAAACAGGCATGTGTGATATTTAGGAACCTATGATTTTATTCATTTTGACAGGCATGTGTGATATTTAGGAGTCTATGATTTTATTCATTTTGACAGGCATGTGTGATATTTAGGAGTCTATGATTTTATTCATTTTGACAGGCATGTGTGATATTTAGGAGTCTATGATTTTATTCATTTTGACAGGCATGTGTGATATTTAGGAACCTATGATTTTATTCATTTTGACAGGCATGTGTGATATTTAGGAGTCTATGATTTTATTCCAGTTTACATGCATGTGTAATATTTAGGAATCTTATAATCATATTCCAAAAATTATTTCATGAAAAGATTGCCGGATGCAGAATTTCAGAGCTGCCATCAAATATGAAATAGACAACCTATTGTATTCTACCATTAATGGATGTTGGTTCAAACTGCAATCACCTCTCTTACTTAGTAGTAGAATTCAATGTTTTACTTTTGTTCATATATCATTCTTGCTGTCATCCTGGATACTCCAGGTGTTATGATCACTACATCCTCGATACTCCAGGTGTTATGATCACTACATCCTCGATACTCCAGGTGTTATGAACACTACATCCTGGATACTCCAGGTGTTATGAACACTACATCCTCGATACTCCAGGTGTTATGATCACTACATCTTCGATACTCCAGGTGTTATGAACACTACATCCTCGATACTCCAGGTGTTATGATCACTACATCTTCGATACTCCAGGTGTTATGATCACTGCATCCTCTGTACTCCTGGGGTTACGATCTCTATATCCTGGATACTCCAGGGGTTACAATCACTGCATCCTCTGTACTCCTGGGGTTACGATCTCTATATCCTCAATACTCAGGCCTGTAGTGTCGTACAAGTCATAGGTTGTGTTCTAGGCCTGTAGTGTCGTACAAGTCATAGGTTGTGTTCTAGGCCTGTAGTGTCGTACAAGTCATAGGTTGTGTTCTAGGCCTGTAGTGTCGTACAAGTCATAGGTTGTGTTCTAGGCCTGTAGTGTCGTACAAGTCATAGGTTGTGTTCTAGGCCTGTAGTGTCGTACAAGTCATAGGTTGTGTTCTAGGCCTGTAGTGTCGTACAAGTCATAGGTTGTGTTCTAGGCCTGTAGTGTCGTACAAGTCATAGATTGTGATCTAGGCCTGTAGTGTCGTACAAGTCATAGGTTGTGTTCTAGGCCTGTAGTGTTGTACAAGTCATAGGTTGTGTTCTAGGCCTGTAGTGTCGTACAAGTCATAGGTTGTGTTCTAGGCCTGTAGTGTTGTACAAGTCATAGATTGTGTTCTAGGCCTGTAGTGTCGTACAAGTCATAGGTTGTGTTCTAGGCCTGTAGTGTTGTACAAGTCATAGGTTGTGTTCTAGGCCTGTAGTGTCGTACAAGTCATAGGTTGTGTTCTAGGCCTGTAGTGTCGTACAAGTCATAGGTTGTGTTCTAGGCCTGAAGTGTCGTACAAGTCATAGATTGTGTTCTAGGCCTGTAGTGTCGTACAAGTCATAGATTGTGATCTAGGCCTGTAGTGTCGTACAAGTCATAGGTTGTGTTCTAGGCCTGTAGTGTTGTACAAGTCATAGGTTGTGTTCTAGGCCTGTAGTGTCGTACAAGTCATAGGTTGTGTTCTAGGCCTGTAGTGTCGTACAAGTCATAGGTTGTGTTCTAGGCCTGTAGTGTCGTACAAGTCATAGGTTGTGTTCTAGGCTTGTAGTGTCGTACAAGTCATAGGTTGTGTTCTAGGCCTGTAGTGTCGTACAAGTCATAGGTTGTGTTCTAGACCTGTAGTGTCGTACAAGTCATAGGTTGTGTTCTAGGCCTGTAGTGTCGTACAAGTCATAGGTTGTGTTCTAGGCCTGTAGTGTCGTACAAGTCATAGGTTGTGTTCTAGGCCTGTAGTGTCGTACAAGTCATAGGTTGTGTTCTAGGCCTGTAGTGTCGTACAAGTCATAGGTTGTGTTCTAGGCCTGTAGTGTCGTACAAGTCATAGGTTGTGTTCCAGGCCCATAGTTCTGTATAAAATATTGATTAGGTTGTTTTGCAGGTCTGCCTATATATGTCCTATGTTATGTTGTAGGACTACAGGATGGCCTGTCAGACATGAGTGTAAGTCTAGAGATGAGTGTGACTGACATAGACAGTAATAAGGACAGCCCAGGACAGCCAGCACCAGTCCTTCTTACCCCTGATGTGTTCAAAGCTAGTCCCAGGTATAAACCAATTGTTGATGGTTAAAGGAGTTTCATAAGGAAAACAGATCTGTAATCTCTGTAGCTGATATGTTTATAGATCTGAAATCTCTGTAGGTGATATGTTTATAGATCTGAAATCTCTGTAGGTGATATGTTTATAGATCTGAAGTCTCTGTAACTGATATGTTTATAGATCTTAAGTCTCTGTAACTGATATGTTTATAGATCTGCAATCTCTGTAACTGATATGTTTATAGATCTGAAGTCTCTGTAGCTGATATGTTTATAAATCTGAAATCTCTGTAACTATGTTTATAAATCTGAAATCTCTGTAGGTGATGTGTTTATAGATCTGAAATCTCTGTAGCTGGTATGTTTATAAATCTGAAATCTCTGTAGGTGATGTGTTTATAGATCTGAAATCTCTGTAGCTGGTATGTTTATAAATCTGAAATCTCTGTAGCTGGTATGTTTATAGATCTGAAATCTCTGTAGCTGGTATGTTTATAGATCTGAAGTCTCTGTAGCTGGTATATTTATAAATCTGAAATCTCTGTAGCTGGTATGTTTATAGATCTGAAATCTCTGTAGCTGGTATATTTATAGATCTGAAATCTCTGTAGCTGATATGTTTATAGATCTGAAATCTCTGTAGGTGATATGTTTATAGATCTGAAATCTCTGTAGGTGATATGTTTATAGATCTGAAATCTCTGTAGGTGATATGTTTATAGATCTGAAGTCTCTGTAACTGATATGTTTATAGATCTGAAGTCTCTGTAACTGATATGTTTATAGATCTGAAATCTCTGTAACTATGTTTATAGATCTGAAATCTCTGTAGGTGATGTGTTTATAGATCTGAAATCTCTGTAGCTGGTATGTTTATAAATCTGAAATCTCTGTAGCTGATATGTTTATAGATCTGAAATCTCTGTAGCTGGTATATTTATAAATCTGAAATCTCTGTAGCTGGTATATTATAAATCTGAAATCTCTGTAACTATGTTTATAGATCTGAAATCTCTGTTGGTGATATGTTTATAGATCTGAAATCTCTGTAGCTGGTATATTTATAGATCTGAAATCTCTGTAGCTGGTATATTATAAATCTGAAATCTCTGTAACTATGTTTATAGATCAGAAATCTCTGTAACTATGTTTATAGATCTGAAATCTCTGTAACTGATATGTTTATAGATCCGAAATCTCTGTAGCTGATATGTTTATAAATCTGAAATCTCTGTAGCTGATATGTTTATAAATCTGAAATCTCAGTGGATATCTGATATGTATGAAGATCCTGGTTGTATTTATAGGAAGGTGACAGACAATAGTATCCTAGAGCCAGTACGGGTCAGTGCAGGTTCCAGTACCAGTAGTTTTACCCATGTGACAGGGCTTAATGATGATTTCATGTCACCACGTAGTTCTGGTGATCAATCTGACATCACACAAACCCCAACACCCAAGGACTCCACACCGAGTCGTGCCAACCCGGAACTAACACCTGGCTCTCTTCCACTGCCACCTATCACCAGTGCTGAAGAACAGGACTTACAAACCCCAAAGTCCAAAGAGTCCCTCAACTCATCAGGAGAAGTAACGCCAAAGGCTGAAGGTCGACTGGCCAACGTGTGTATTGACGACTTGTTTGATACTCAAGAAAGCTCGGGCAGGCCTATTGTAGGCAGAACATTTGACAGCACCAGTAGTACTACAGGGTTTGATGTGAATGATATTGTAGGCCCCAAACACTCCAGTTCTAAAGAGTATGATGAGGATGATGAGGAAGTGGCGGAGGTGTTGGGGGAGACGATAGAGGAAGAAGAAACCAGTAAGGAGATGATTGAAGGTACGCAACCCTTCGTGGAGCAAGGTACGCAGTCATCCCAGGGAGATAGTGAAGGTCAACAGGTGCTGCGGGCCTGGCCACGTCCTCCTGATGTAAACACAGAGAGCCAGCCACACCCTCAGGACAGGTACTAATGCTAGCCCTATATTGGGCCTAAGGGAGAACACTCTAATGGTAGTCACAGTCAGATAAATGACAAGATGGTATTTACCTTTATCCTGTCACACTTTGTTCAAATTTAGAATCGTGAAGGTCTTTAGGACATTCATTTTTAGGTTGATATTTAATGGAGGGTTATTTTCAGTACATTGGATTTTGGTGAAGTGAATAATTAAGGGTTCCTGAGGGGTTGAAGTCTAACACAGCATATGTTTAGCACCTATAACAAAGAATGGGAGAGTGAGAGTAGATGTCTTAAAACTACTTGTGTACAATTAGAGGGAACATCCTATAACGTCAATTCCAGGAATTTTTTAGCACCAACACATCTTCTCATGACATATTCACGGGTATAGGATGTTCTGCTGTTTAATTCCATTTATCAATTCTCCATCGATTCTCCTTTATTCAACCGTCACTTAAGTAGTACAGCTTATTTTTCTGTGCAATTGTTAACACATATATGGTTATATAAAGAAAATCATTTACATATTGTCCCCAAATGCTACTATAGCTTCTTTTGAGTCTAAATTTTTGTAGATCTTTTGACTAGTGTGCATTTAAGTTACAATTTCAGGTATGTTATGTATATAAGGTATATTTATAATTTTAATTCAGCTATGACGAGGAGGGTGATGATGATGTACAGGTGGAGGGAGAGGAAATCTGTGAAGACGAGGATGAAGATGACGATGGTGTTGTTAACCAGGAACAGAATGTAGGAGACCTACAGAATCAAACCCAGGATGAGAGTAGTGAGGAAATCGAGGAGCAGATAGAGGAACACTCAGAGGAATCTGACCACAACAGGTGATTAAAACGTACTGTTGATTCAGTCCCCATAAAACGTACTGTTGATTCAGTCCCCAGAAAACATACTGGTGATTCAGTCACAATAAAACGTACTGTTGATTCAGTCACCATAAAGCATACTGGTGCTTCGGTTATGATAAAATGTACTTGTGATTCAGTTGCCAACCAATATTGCTGAAAATTGATAAAAGATAGGTTTGAAAATGGTAGTTATGTTTCTGTTCTCACAAATACGGGATGTCATTTGGTTTCCATGAAAACCAAGAGAGACCCATGGTTAGAGGGATTATTGTCCGGACTTCTTAACTTGGGAGCCAATTTCAATGAAACTGTACAGAAATCATATAGGTTTCTTGTTGTCTTGGTAACCAGGTCTCTATACATAAGTCTTTGATTAATTGCCGATAACTATTAAGAGTTATGGTAAGGAGATGGGCAAGACAAGGGAATGGTACATTTCTAAGGAAATCGAAAATTGAAGGTCTTCTTCCTAATAACCAAAAGTCTGAGGGTGTTTATGTTGGTCTGTAGCATGCTTTTTAAGTTTCTTCAAATGAATGACCTCAACCAACTTTCAAGGTCACAAGATTAAACATTTTCAAATTCTATGAACTCCTTTCCAATAAGCAAAAGGCCCATGGTGTTGATATTTGGCCTGTAGCATGCTGGATGACATGCAATCAAATTTATGCAAATAAATGAATTTGTCCTACTTTCAAGGTTAAAAGGGATCAGATGTATTAATTACTTGAAAATTCTTACTTACAAATATATAGCTACTCATTCATGGTATTTGTGTAGTTGTTTAGAAAATGGGCTTTGATTTTAAAAGAAATTGACTTCATGAGCCAAAAATGTCTTCTTTGTAAACTGCCTATCAGTTGAGTAATTCTGGCCCCTTGGTCTTCTTATTATAGGTATATATCAGGGGTTTGCTGCCAGTGTTAGGCTTAACATTAAAATATTGAAAGGACTGTACACTAGGATTTCAAAGACCTTTGCTACTGATTTTACCATAACTAAAATATCACTTTGTCTTGTAGTCCAAAGGAAGCTCCAGTGTTGAAGGCTGCAGATAGACACAATATCTCTTCTCCAAGGTAATGATATCTCTTCCTCTAGTAACAATATCTCTTCTTTATGGTGATAATATCTCCTCTCCAAGGTATTGATATCTCTTCCTCTAGTAACAATATCTCTTCTTTATGGTGATAATATCTCCTCTCCAAGGTATTGATATCTCTTCCTCTAGTAACAATATCTCTTCTTTATGGTGGTAATATCTCCTCTCCAAGGTATTGATATCTCTTCCTCTAGTAACAATATCTCTTCTTTATGGTGATAATATCTCCTCTCCAAGGTAATGATATCTCTTCCTCTAGTAACAATATCTCTTCTTTATGGTGATAATATCTCCTCTCCAAGGTATTGATATCTCTTCCTCTAGTAACAATATCTCTTCTTTATGGTGATAATATCTCCTCTCCAAGGTATTGATATCTCTTCCTCTAGTAACAATATCTCTTCTTTATGGTGATAATATCTCCTCTCCAAGGTATTGATATCTCTTCCTCTAGTAACAATATCTCTTCTTTATGGTGATAATATCTCCTCTCCAAGGTATTGATATCTCTTCCTCTAGTAACAATATCTCTTCTTTATGGTGATAATATCTCCTCTCCAAGGTATTGATATCTCTTCCTCTAGTAACAATATCTCTTCTTTATGGTGATAATATCTCCTCTCCAAGGTATTGATATCTCTTCCTCTAGTAACAATATCTCTTCTTTATGGTGATAATATCTCCTCTCCAAGGTATTGATATCTCTTCCTCTAGTAACAATATCTCTTCTTTATGGTGATAATATCTCCTCTCCAAGGTAATGATATCTCTTCCTCTAGTAACAATATCTCTTCTTTATGGTGATAATATCTCCTCTCCAAGGTATTGATATCTCTTCCTCTAGTAACAATATCTCTTCTTTATGGTGATAATATCTCCTCTCCAAGGTAATGATATCTCTTCCTCTAGTAACAATATCTCTTCTTTATGGTGATAATATCTCCTCTCCAAGGAAGCAACGTTTCTTTTCCATGGTAACAGAGTTCACTGTTTATTCACACATAAAAAACATCAATGACAATAACTTGTGAAACAGTTCGTGGTCATGTCTGAAATTCTACTTTGAAATTTTGGTAATATCATTTTTTGATTTTCTCTTCGTCATTTTTGCAGGGATGCTGGCGTTCCTGTCAGAGAAATACATCGTGAAACCATCCGAGAAGTCATAGACAAAACAGCTCTGTCTCAGGTTAGTTTTCTACTGACTGCAGAATCTCGGTGTCCAATCCACTGGTCTAGATATTTTACTGAAACACTCAGTATCTTAAACTGTGTTGTTGAGTTGCAGAATCACCTACAGTTTGTATTGATGACCTTTGACCTTTATATCTTAATATATACCTTTGTCATACAATTACAGGATCATCTACATTATGTATTGGTGACCTTTGACCTACATATTGAGTATGTTTACCTTTGTCGTACAGTTACAGGATCACCTACAGAGTGTTTTGGTGGCCCTTGAAGCTCAGAACAGTCAAATACAGCGGTTACAGGACCAGTTGGTAGAGCAGCAGGAACAACAGGCAGAGTTACAGCGACAGCAGATTGAGATGGAGCAGCTGCGACAGATGGACAAACAACCACAGCCAAACATTGAGGAACATCTGGGCAAGCTAGAGTCCATCGTCACATCACGGGTGGAGCGCATGTTCAGCCAGCATGCGTTGAAAGAAAGTATCTTTTGTTGTATGCAGCTTTGAGCCTTTTATATTTCCACCATTTTATGGCAGGGAGCATGTAACATAAGCTTTGGTAGTCATTTACTCTTTAACAGATAAAGATATAGAACTGTTATTTGGTATGTATTTGGATTATGATAGCATGCAGGTCAGATTCTGTAATAGTTTTTTATTTGGTCCATCAACTTTTATGGCCATTTAACTTTAATGGAATGTACATATTGAACCTGGCTGACCCCTTAGATGCTTATGGGTGGGGTCAAAAGAGTCAGATTGACTTAGAGTTCAAAGAGCTTTTTTCTTAGCATCAAGTACTCTTCATGGATGGAGGGATCTCCAGCTGTTTTATCTAATTGTAAATTTGATACCATCTCACATTGCCACTTGAAGAATTATAGTTTACCTACTAGAAAACTACATTGTTAGGCCACCTGAGACTCTCATTTTGATGTATCAAGATTACCCATTGTCTGGCATTGTGCAGTGTGCAGTGTGCATTATGCATGTTATTCTTTAGGAATTATTAAATTTACCCCAATTTTGGTATGAAGCATCTTAGGGTGAAGAGAAGTTAATTTTGTGTAAACCGTACATCTGATCTCAATAGGACAGAGGGGCTTGGTCTGTTAGGGGAAATAGATACATATCTTTTAAATGCTAGTTTAGATTAGGGAATTTCAGCAGACTAAACCAGATGTGTGATACAGGCTCTGTATGCCTCTTGTTTACAATATGATTAAAACAATTAGCAGAAGTATTTTTGGGTCTGGAGAAGTGCTAGGTGAGCTATCCTTAACAATGTCCTAGACCAGCGGATACAGGATCTTTTACAGCAGACTGAGCGCCGCGACCAGCATCGACAGGACAAGTTACAACAGGCAGTAACGCAGACTGTTAACCAGGCAATCCTACACAACCTGGAGAAGCAGGTCAAGGCAGAGATGAGAAACACAGTTGTTCCAAGTAAGGATGTGTCTGCTGCTATTTGCTATAAGTTTACAGGGTATCTGTAACTTTTCTGTCCATTTGCATCCAATCCTATGTAAAATAAAAGTCATCATGTTAGCTAGTTACTTAATATCTAAAGGGATTTTTATCAACTTTTAAACAAAGGTAAACTCTGAAAATATCATGGATGAGCTCCTGATTCAGGGTTCCAAGGTCAAGGTCACTGTTACCCAGATCTCTAAGGTCAAGGTCACTATTACCCAGATCATCAAATAATTCAATGTTATTATTCTGGTCACTTCATTTCTTATGGGATTTTGATCAAACTTGACACAAAAACATCTGTGAAAAATCTCAGATGGATTGGTGTTTCATGTCCAGGTCAGGGTTTCTATTGATATAAAGTAAGGGCTGTCATGAATATCTGGGTATCCTGTTGTAGGTTTAGTTTGAGTACAACCACAGTGAGGAAAAGGAACCAACCAAACTCTGCTTAGAGAATGGCTTTATTTTAGTGTCTCTCTTCAGTGACAAGCATTTCAGATAGATGTAACAAATTACTATAAATAGCAACAGAATTTCACCCTGACAACCAGAGTAGAACCTTTGTCACCATTACTGATTAGATGTCCAAGTTGTTGTGTTTGTCTCCTGTTCATTACTGTTCATTTTTCCAAAACCACAGAAAATTAGTTTATTTCAAATTTAAAAGACAACAAGAATAAACTGAGAATATCTGTGCTTGTAGATGTGGGCAAGGTGCTCGAGCCCCTGAAGGAACAGCTTCACCAGGATCTTGCTCAGAAACTGACGGCTACAGACGCTCTACTGAAGGACAACATCAGTAAGATGGTGCGATCTAGGGTAAGTGACCTGTTGGAACTATGACCTTTATGAAACCCTGGTCCTGTGGAAATGTAGAAAGTATTCCTTTCACTAATTTAAAATATCTGTTGATCTGTTCTATGTCTGTTATTCTGTCCTATATCTGTCCTAAGTCTGAAAGTCTATCCTTAATCTCTTAAATCTGTCCTAAATCTCTCTTAAGTCTGTCCTAAATTTACTCTTAGTCTGTCCTTAATCTGTAGGCTAGCAAGTCCTTTAAAATCATTGTTTTCCTTTAGGAATGATTGGACTTTGTTCAGATTTGGTCTCAAGTATCTTTTGGTGAACAAGAGTCAGATTAGTATGAATGAAGGGTCTTTGCTTTCAGAAGTTTAAATGGAACAAATCCTTTACAACTCTTCCTCTGCAGGATTTTGTCTAATGCATCCTTTGGTGAAGTTTGTTTAATTACCCCTGGGGTATGTACCAAGTCTGCCATTCTGTCTTTAATCTGTCCTCAGTCTGTCCTAAATTTTAAATCTGTCATTATTCTGTCCATCTATCCTAAATCTGTGTCTGTGCATTGTTAGTCCTAAGTTTGTCAGCCTTAATAACTGATGATTATCCCACAGCAAACAGTGGATGCTATTGGGATGGCAGCAGGCAACGCTCTTCAGACTCCTATACAAGTGGCTTATAGAGAGGCATTTCAAAATATTGTGATCCCCAACTTTGAGCGCACCACTCAGAACATGTTCCAACAGATCAATGAAACATTTACTAAAGGATCAAAGGAATGTAAGTTGTTTTGTCATCAGCTTTCTCTCTCGTTCTTTCACGGAGAAAAATCTGCCTTAGTTTTAAATCTTTTCCTATTGAGTGTTTAAGGTTCAGATGGTATTTGGAAATCTCGTTTAAAATTCATGGTATGACTTTCTTTACCATTCAACAGCTCAGTAATCTGTTTTCCAGGAATTTTCTTGTTAAATGAGATATGTGGCAAATATATACAAAAATAAGTTTTTGTGTTCATGTCGTGTAAACTGGTGTAGTATTGGTGTGACTGCTATAAGGGTGTTGTTTATTAATCAGACATCAAGCATCTAGACACACATTTAGACCAGATCAAACAGAAACACCTGGAGGCTCGGGATCCTGTGGTTGGACAGATGAAACAACTAGCAGACTCGTTTAGAACATCGGCAGAGACAATGCAGAGCTCTGTGATGTCAGCCATACAAAGTCAAATCCACACAGATATGGAGCAGTCCATGACAAAGTAAGTCACAGTTTGGAGCAGTCCATGATGAGGTAAGTCACAGTTTGGAGCAGTCCATGACAAGGTAAGTCACAATTTGGAGCAGTCCATGACAAGGTAAGTCACAGTTTGGAGCAGTCCATGACAAGGTAAGTCACAATTTGGAGCAGTCCATGACAAGGTAAGTCACAGTTTGGAGCAGTCCATGACAAGGTAAGTCACAGTTTGGAGCAGTCCATGACAAGGTAAGTCACAATTTGGAGCAGTCCTTGACAAGGTAAGTCACAGTTTGGAGCAGTCCATGACAAGGTAAGTCACAGTTTGGAGCAGTCCATGACAAGGTAAGTCACAGTTTGGAATATTCCATGGCAAGGTAAGTCATCTTTGTCACATCCATGTTGCATTCTTGTTATTTGCTTTTTGCAACCTCATTACAACCTCGTTACAGCTAGTGATGTCCTGATGATGGTTGGAGCCTGATTAAGTTACCTGACTATTACTGAAGATTATCACTATTTACAAAACATCCATACTCTAGCAGTCAGTTGATAATACAGTTTTTATACAGAGGGTATAGTTACTAATTACAACATGTTTTATTTACATCTGTTTGTAAGAATTTGTTAATGAAATAAATTTACTGATACTAAATAAAGTACGCTATAGTTTGTATGTTTGCAGTTATGTATAAGTTTACAGATATTCCACTGTGAAGGACACAAATAACACAGAGATTTAGGGGTTTTACTGGTCCATAGTAACCCAGAATTCATTAGAATATTGTAAAAGTATGTTGAATATATCAAGTAAATTCCATATACATAGGTTAAGTAATATATTACAATCTTGTTGTATAGTCTACAAGATCAAGTGATCCAGTTTGTACGGCAGGCCGTGAAGGAGGAGGTCAGTATAGCTGTCCGAGAACAAGGTGCCAGTATCAGTGATAGTGTGTTAACAGCCATGAGGTCAGGGGCTGTGACCCCTATACAGGTGACCCCTGACCCACATCAAGCCCAGACACAGATCCTTCAACTACTTCGTCAAGGCCAACTTAATGCTGCTTTCCAGGAGGTAAGACTCATCATCACATTGGTTGATATCTTTTCAAGACTCACCATCTCATTGGTTAAAATCCTGGTATTAGGGAATGCTTCTTGACTTTACCTCTCTCATCACTGAAGTAACGGTATTTAGGAATGCTTCTTGACTTTACCTCTCTCATCACTGAAGTAATAGTATTTAGGAATGTTTCTTGTCTTTACCTCTCTCATCACTGAAGTAACAGTATTTAGGAATGTTTCTTGTCTTTACCTCTCTCATCACTGAAGTAACAGTATTTAGGAATGTTTCTTGTCTTTACCTCTCTCATCACTGAAGTAACAGTATTTAGGAATGTTTCTTGTCTTTACCTCTCTCATCACTGAAGTAACAGTATTTAGGAATGTTTCTTGTCTTTACCTCTCTCATCACTGAAGTAACAGTATTTAGGAATGTTTCTTGTCTTTACCTCTCTCATCACTGAAGTAACAGTATTTAGGAATGTTTCTTGACTTAACCTCCCTCTTCCTTGAAGTAATGTATGGATCTTTCTCAAATTGCACAAGTAGGTACCCCTTGGTCCCTAGTTGTGCTGTTTGATTTTTGGACTGATCCGGAAAACAAAATGGCAGACAGGCAGCCATCTTGGAATTTTTTAAAGAAGATTGTTATCGCTATATCTTGAAATATAAGAGATGGATCTCTTGCAAATTTCATATGTAGACTCCCCCTTTGTTTCTGGTTATGTCCATGTTATTTTGGAACTGATCAGAAAAACTAAATGGAAGACAGACTGACATCTTGAATTTTAACTTTGAAAGTTTGTTAATGCTATTCCTTTAGAACTGAAGCATAGATGTTTCTCAGATTTCATATGTATGCTATACTTGATATCTAGTTGTGCCTGTTTGTTTTGGTACTGATCAGAAAAAACAAAATGACCCACAAGTGGCCATTTTTTATTTTGCCTAGTAAAGGTCATTATCACTATTTCTTAAGAAGGACTGAATGGATATCTCTCAAATTTCATACATATGTTCCCTTTGGTCTGTCTTTGTGCTTGTTTGATTTTGGGACTGATCAGAAGAAACAAAATGACTTCCAGGTGGCTATTTTGGATTTGGCAGGTAAAGATTATTATTAAAAAAGAAGGGAAAAGATCCAACATTCAAGGAGCATTTATAGATCAAACAATGGTGGGTGCCAAGATCCCTCTGGGATCTCTTGTATTTAGCTATGGTGTAAGTGCCTAAATCGTCATCATTGTGTAGAATGGCTATGAAAACGTCCTAGTGACTAGTCAGTGCTTGTATCTCTGTTTTACTGATCGATTTACTTTTACGTTTTAGTTTTTATTAAGTTTGTTGATTTTTTTTCAGGCCTTGTCAGCATCAAATCTGGACCTTGTGATGTTTGTTTGTGAGACAGTCAATCCCCAACAAGTATTTAATCAGACGCCTTGCCCTCTACAACAGCCTGTGCTGCTCTCCCTCATACAACAGCTGTCAGCAGACCTAGCCAACAGTACAGAACTCAAACACAAGTAAGTACACACCAACCCCAGGACCTAAACACAAGTTCAGTCAGTCAACAGTACAGAACTCAAACACAAGTAAGTACACACCAACCCCAGGACATAAACACAAGTTCAGTCAGTCAACAGTACCCAAACTCAAACACAACTTTAGCCTAGAATAATGCTGTACACATCACACAACACAAGTGAAGATGTTATTCAGGTACTTTGAAAATCAGATAAAATCCTATGGAAGCAGTGACAAAAATGTTTAAATGTATCACCTGCCACATCTTCCATTGAAATCAGACATAGTTTTGAGAAAATACCCAGAATAAGAATGACTCCTGACAGAAGTTGTCTTCCTTCCTACAAATAACCTCATATTCTAAGGGATTGCCAAGAAAGGTTAGAGGTACTGTGTATGTGGTGGGTTAGAGGTTCTGTGTACGTGGTGGGTTAGAGGTTCTGTATATGTGGTGGGTTAGAGGTTCTGTGTATGAGGAGGGTTAGAGGTTTTATGTATGGGGTGGGTTAGAGGTTTTATGGATGGGGTGGGTTAGAGGTTTTATGGATGGGGTGGGTTAGGGGTTCTGTGTATGTGGTGGGTTAGAGGTTTTATGGATGGGGTGGGTTAGGGGTTCTGTGTATGTGGTGGGTTAGAGGTTGTGTATGTGGTGGGTTAGAGGTTCTGTATATGTGGTGGGTTAGAGGTTCTGTGTATGTGGTGGGTTAGAGGTTCTGTGTATGGGGTGGGTTAGAGGTTCTGTGTATGGGGTGGGTTAGAGGTTCTGTGTATGTGGTGGGTTAGAGGTTCTGTGTATGGGGTGGGTTAGAGGTTCTGTGTATGGGGTGGGTTAGAGATTCTGTGTATGGGATGGGTTAGAGGTTCTGTGTATGTGGTGGGTTAGAGGTTCTCTATATGGGGTGGGTTAGAGGTTCTGTGCATGTGGTGGGTTAGAGGTTCTGTGTATGGGGTAGGTTAGAGGTCTTATGTATGTGGTGGGTTAGAGGTTCTGTATATGCGGTGGGTTAGAGGTTCTGTGTATGCGGTGGGTTAGAGGTTCTGTATATGGGGTGGGTTAGAGGTTCTGTGTATGTGGTGGGTTAGAAGTTCTGTGTATGTGGTGGGTTAGAGGTTCTGTATATGTGGTGGGTTAGAAGTTCTGTGTATGAGGAGGGTTAGAGGTTTTATGTATGGGGTGGGTTAGAGGTTTTATGTATGTGGTGGGTTAGAGGTTCTGTGTATGGGGTGGGTTAGAGGTTCTGTGTATTTGGTGGGTTAGAGGTTCTGTGTATGGGATGGGTTAGAGGTTCTGTGTATGGGATGGGTTAGAGGTTCTGTGTATGGGGTGGGTTAGAGGTTCTGTGTATGGGGTGGGTTAGAGGTTCTGTGTATGGGGTGGGTTAGAGGTTCTGTGTATGTGGTGGGTTAGAGGTTATGTGTATGGGGTGGGTTAGAGGTTCTGTGTATGGGGTGGGTTAGAGGTTCTGTGTATGGGGTGGGTTAGAGGTTCTGTGTATGGGGTAGGTTAGAGGTTCTGTGTATGGGATGGGTTAGAGGTTCTGTGTATGGGATGGGTTAGAGGTTCTGTGTATGGGGTGGGTTAGAGGTTCTGTGTATGTGGTGGGTTAGAGGTTCTGTGTATGGGGTGGGTTAGAGGTTCTGTGTATGTGGTGGGTTAGAGGTTATGTGTATGGGGTGGGTTAGAGGTTCTGTGTATGGGGTGGGTTAGAGGTTCTGTGTATGGGGTAGGTTAGAGGTTCTGTGTATGGGGTGGGTTAGAGGTTCTGTGTATGTGGTGGGTTAGAGGTTCTGTGTATGGGGTGGGTTAGAGGTTCTGTGTATGGGATGGGTTAGAGGTTCTGTGTATGTGGTGGGTTAGAGGTTCTGTGTATGGGGTGGGTTAGAGGTTCTGTGTATGGGGTGGGTTAGAGGTTCTGTGTATGGGGTGGGTTAGAGGTTCTGTGTATGGGGTGGGTTAGAGGTTCTGTGTATGGGGTGGGTTAGAGGTTCTGTGTATTTGATGGGTTAGAGGTTCTGTATATGTGGTGGGTTAGAGGTTCTGTGTATGAGGAGGGTTATAGGTTTTATGTATGTGGTGGGTTAGAGGTTCTCTATATAGGGTGGGTTAGAGGTTCTGTGTATGGGGTGGGTTAGAGGTTCTGTGTATGTGGTGGGTTAGAGGTTCTGTTTATGTGGTGGGTTAGAGGTTCTGTGTATGGGGTGGGTTAGAGGTTCTGTGTATGGGGTAGGTTAGAGGTTCTGTGTATGGGGTGGGTTAGAGGTTCTGTGTATGGGGTGGGTTAGAGGTTCTGTGTATGTGGTGGGTTAGAGGTTATGTGTATGGGGTGGGTTAGAGGTTCTGTGTATGGGGTGGGTTAGAGGTTCTGTGTATGGGGTGGGTTAGAGGTTCTGTGTATGGGGTAGGTTAGAGGTTCTGTGTATGGGATGGGTTAGAGGTTCTGTGTATGGGATGGGTTAGAGGTTCTGTGTATGGGGTGGGTTAGAGGTTCTGTGTATGTGGTGGGTTAGAGGTTCTGTGTATGGGGTGGGTTAGAGGTTCTGTGTATGTGGTGGGTTAGAGGTTATGTGTATGGGGTGGGTTAGAGGTTCTGTGTATGGGGTGGGTTAGAGGTTCTGTGTATGGGGTAGGTTAGAGGTTCTGTGTATGGGGTGGGTTAGAGGTTCTGTGTATGTGGTGGGTTAGAGGTTCTGTGTATGGGGTGGGTTAGAGGTTCTGTGTATGGGATGGGTTAGAGGTTCTGTGTATGTGGTGGGTTAGAGGTTCTGTGTATGGGGTGGGTTAGAGGTTCTGTGTATGGGGTGGGTTAGAGGTTCTGTGTATGGGGTGGGTTAGAGGTTCTGTGTATGGGGTGGGTTAGAGGTTCTGTGTATGGGGTGGGTTAGAGGTTCTGTGTATTTGATGGGTTAGAGGTTCTGTATATGTGGTGGGTTAGAGGTTCTGTGTATGAGGAGGGTTATAGGTTTTATGTATGTGGTGGGTTAGAGGTTCTCTATATAGGGTGGGTTAGAGGTTCTGTGTATGGGGTGGGTTAGAGGTTCTGTGTATGTGGTGGGTTAGAGGTTCTGTTTATGTGGTGGGTTAGAGGTTCTGTGTATGGGGTGGGTTAGAGGTTCTGTGTATGGGGTAGGTTAGAGGTTCTGTGTATGGGGTGGGTTAGAGGTTCTGTGTATGGGGTGGGTTAGAGGTTGTGTATGTGGTGGGTTAGAGGTTCTGTATATGTGGTGGGTTAGAGGTTCTGTGTATGTGGTGGGTTAGAGGTTCTGTGTATGGGGTGGGTTAGAGGTTCTGTGTATGGGGTGGGTTAGAGGTTCTGTGTATGGGGTGGGTTAGAGGTTCTGTGTATGGGGTGGGTTAGAGATTCTGTGTATGGGATGGGTTAGAGGTTCTGTGTATGTGGTGGGTTAGAGGTTCTCTATATGGGGTGGGTTAGAGGTTCTGTGCATGTGGTGGGTTAGAGGTTCTGTGTATGGGGTAGGTTAGAGGTCTTATGTATGTGGTGGGTTAGAGGTTCTGTATATGCGGTGGGTTAGAGGTTCTGTGTATGCGGTGGGTTAGAGGTTCTGTATATGGGGTGGGTTAGAGGTTCTGTGTATGTGGTGGGTTAGAAGTTCTGTGTATGTGGTGGGTTAGAGGTTCTGTATATGTGGTGGGTTAGAAGTTCTGTGTATGAGGAGGGTTAGAGGTTTTATGTATGGGGTGGGTTAGAGGTTTTATGTATGTGGTGGGTTAGAGGTTCTGTGTATGGGGTGGGTTAGAGGTTCTGTGTATTTGGTGGGTTAGAGGTTCTGTGTATGGGATGGGTTAGAGGTTCTGTGTATGGGATGGGTTAGAGGTTCTGTGTATGGGGTGGGTTAGAGGTTCTGTGTATGGGGTGGGTTAGAGGTTCTGTGTATGGGGTGGGTTAGAGGTTCTGTGTATGTGGTGGGTTAGAGGTTCTGTGTATGGGGTGGGTTAGAGGTTCTGTGTATGGGGTGGGTTAGAGGTTCTGTGTATGGGGTAGGTTAGAGGTTCTGTGTATGGGATGGGTTAGAGGTTCTGTGTATGGGATGGGTTAGAGGTTCTGTGTATGGGTGGGTTAGTGGTTCTGTGTTTGTGGTGGGTTAGAGGTTCTGTGTATGGGGTGGGTTAGAGGTTCTGTGTATGTGGTGGGTTAGAGGTTATGTGTATGGGGTGGGTTAGAGGTTCTGTGTATGGGGTGGGTTAGAGGTTCTGTGTATGGGGTAGGTTAGAGGTTCTGTGTATGGGGTGGGTTAGAGGTTCTGTGTATGTGGTGGGTTAGAGGTTCTGTGTATGGGGTGGGTTAGAGGTTCTGTGTATGGGATGGGTTAGAGGTTCTGTGTATGTGGTGGGTTAGAGGTTCTGTGTATGGGGTGGGTTAGAGGTTCTGTGTATGGGGTGGGTTAGAGGTTCTGTGTATGGGGTGGGTTAGAGGTTCTGTGTATGGGGTGGGTTAGAGGTTCTGTGTATGGGGTGGGTTAGAGGTTCTGTGTATTTGATGGGTTAGAGGTTCTGTATATGTGGTGGGTTAGAGGTTCTGTGTATGAGGAGGGTTATAGGTTTTATGTATGTGGTGGGTTAGAGGTTCTCTATATAGGGTGGGTTAGAGGTTCTGTGTATGGGGTGGGTTAGAGGTTCTGTGTATGTGGTGGGTTAGAGGTTCTGTTTATGTGGTGGGTTAGAGGTTCTGTGTATGGGGTGGGTTAGAGGTTCTGTGTATGGGGTAGGTTAGAGGTTCTGTGTATGGGGTGGGTTAGAGGTTCTGTGTATGGGGTGGGTTAGAGGTTCTGTGTATGTGGTGGGTTAGAGGTTCTGTGTATGGGGTGGGTTAGAGGTTCTGTGTATGGGGTGGGTTAGAGGTTCTGTGTATGGGATGGGTTAGAGGTTCTGTATATGTGGTGGGTTAGAGGTTCTGTGTATGAGGAGGGTTATAGGTTTTATGTATGTGGTGGGTTAGAGGTTCTCTATATAGGGTGGGTTAGAGGTTCTGTGTATGGGGTGGGTTAGAGGTTCTGTGTATGTGGTGGGTTAGAGGTTCTGTTTATGTGGTGGGTTAGAGGTTCTGTGTATGGGGTGGGTTAGAGGTTCTGTGTATGGGGTAGGTTAGAGGTTCTGTGTATGGGGTGGGTTAGAGGTTCTGTGTATGGGGTGGGTTAGAGGTTCTGTGTATGGGGTGGGTTAGAGGTTCTGTGTATGGGGTGGGTTAGAGGTTCTGTGTATGGGGTGGGTTAGAGGTTCTGTGTATGGGGTGGGTTAAAGGTTCTGTGTATGGGGTAGGTTAGAGATTCTGTGTATGGGGTAGGTTAGAGGTTCTGTGTATGGGGTGGGTTAGAGGTTCTGTGTATGGGGTGGGTTAGAGGTTCTGTGTATGGGGTGGATTAGAGGTCATATAATGGTTGTTAGTATGGTAGACAATTTAACATGGGAAATGGGTTTGTTTCAGGTATCTAGAGGAAGCAGTGATGAATCTGGACATGTCTAACAGTGTCACACGAGAACATCTGAAGGGCGTGTTATATGGACTGATACAGAAACTAAAGACCTACATTGCCAGTCATCCTAATGCTAAAACTACACGCTCTCTCAGGATGCTGCAGATGGCTTCAGAATCTCTCCTTAAGTAGATCATAGGTAGCAATAGTAATGGTTTGTACCACGACAGGATCATCACCACCACTACAGCGTTAACCAAGGTCCTACCACAGTAAAATGTGGATTATGTCATTACATTGTGAGCTGCATCCTTCTCCGAGTAAGATGTGGACTATGTCATCACATTGTGTGCTGCATCCTTCTCCGAGTAAGATGTGGATTATGTCATCACATTGTGTGCTGCATCCTTCTGGGAGTAAGATGTGGGCTATGTCATTACATTGTGTGCTGCATCCTTCTCGGAGTAAGATGTGGACTATGTCATTACATTGTGTGCTGCATCCTTCTTGGAGTAAGACGTGGTGTGCAGCATCCTTCTCGGAGTAAGATGTGGACTATGTCATCACATTGTGTGCTGCATCCTTCTTGGAGTAAGATGTGGACTATGTCATCACATTGTGTGCTGCATCCTTCTCGGAGTAAGATGTGGACTATGTCATTACATTATGTGTTGCATCCTTCTTGGAGTAAGATGTGGACTATGTCATCACATTGTGTGCTGCACCCTTCTTGGAGTTAGATGTGGACTATGTCATCACATTGTGTGCTGCATCCTTCTTGGAGTAAGATGTGGACTATGTCATCACATTGTGTGCTGCATCCTTCTCGGAGTAAGATGTGGACTATGTCATTACATTATGTGTTGCATCCTTCTTGGAGTAAGATGTGGACTATGTCATCACATTGTGTGCTGCACCCTTCTTGGAGTTAGATGTGGACTATGTCATCACATTGTGTGCTGCACCCTGCACTGTATATGTTGGTACATGGCCATTGCTCTTGCAGTGTATTGTTCTGTCATCACATCAGCCTTACCGTGGATAAGGAGATTTTTGTTGTACCATGATAGGCTCTCTCTTATACAAGGGTTAATTATGGTCAACTGTTGAGAATTGTACAGAAAGCCAAGCTAGGTGTCATTATAGTCAATAACATGCAGACCACTTACACCAATAGTCCTTGTATGGATCATATGGAGACAGACTGACAACAAGTTTATTGATGAGGTTGGACAGACTGAGGACAAGTTTATTGATGAGGTTGGACAGACTGACGACAAGTTTATTGATGAGGTTGGACAGACTGACGACAAGTTTATTGATGAGGTTGGACAGACTGACGACAAGTTTATTGATGAGGTTGGACAGACTGACGACAAGTTTATTGATGAGGTTGGACAGACTGACGACAAGTTTATTGATGAGGTTGGACAGACTGACGACAAGTTTATTGATGAGGTTGGACAGACTGACGACAAGTTTATTGATGAGGTTGGACAGACTGACGACAAGTTTATTGATGAGGTTGGACAGACTGACGACAAGTTTATTGATGAGGTTGGACAGGTGGATAGTTTCTGATTTCTGTTTATTGACCAGATTATGATCCTTGTCATAAATACCAGATTTCACACAGAATCATGGTCCATTGTTACATCTCAGTATATTTTGTTGTCAGAATCTCTATGTAGTACTATATTTCACTGCTGTGTGTTTCAGCTAAGTTCCTGGTGTTGTAACACCAGCTGACAGCAATACCTAGTGTACTGTTCCTGTAGAATGTGGAAAAAATCATGTTTCATGAATCAGTAACCTTACCATTTACATGCAGATGTATTAAAAAAAAAGAACATCAAATTTTCTCCTTACCTGGCTTTAAACAACAGAAGTGACTCCAGTGATGGCACTTCCATTGTTTTGCATAGTTATATGTATAGTCAATGATAATTTGTACTGTAGTTACGCCAAAATGGGGAGGCATCTACAGCATTGGCAAGGGCAACCTGCCCATCTCATAAAAAAATCATTATACCAGTTTCAAACAGGAAGTGTTCAGTATCGTTTGTAGCTTGATTCAGGCTGTACTGTTAATCTTCAACATGTAATCATCATCTTTTATCAATCATTCTCTGACCATAATTAATTGACATTTCAACTTCATCTCAAAATCCTCAGAACCAATTTTAAAGAAATTTTGCAGAATCCTTCCATGGTTAAAACTGAATTAATATTTTGAATTACATGCTAATTCAACAATCTTCTTCTGTCCAATTAGAAATGTCTTCATGGATGGGAAGGACTTCAAGTGTTGTTTCAAACTTTTTTGTTATTGCATGAGATTACTCACAAAGCACATGATACAGAGCTTCAAACTTGGCTGGATGTTTTATCTTTTCTTCCTCAAACCCATGCATGCTAGATCAAAACAATGATTATTTTTTTACCAGTATTCTCAAATACCATAAACCCTGTTTACACACTTGCATTACATGTAGTACTGGTCATGTTAGTTTGTGTAATATAAGTTAACGAAATGATTTCCATGTCATGTCACAAAAATTATGAGGATTTCCTGCTGTGTAATACTAGCTCTTCTAAGATAAATAAAACGTAAATATTCCTTGTTTACATCTCTATAAAACATATCCCTGCCAGAGTTAATTGCTTGTAAGAAGCCTTATTTAATCACAAAATAGGATTTTACAAAGTTACAGGTTTGTGTGAAGTCAGAAATCAGATTACACTTGTCTCATTAAGCTTGGTGTACTTTTGGTAATAGCATGGGATCACTATAATTAAGTTATTACATGTTGTAAAGACTCGCTGATCTTGATATGTCACAAATAACTAATGTCTTTGGTATTAGATGGGCTATAAAAGACATTTACAGATATTAGTGATGTATGCTTTTGAGGAGGGAGTACGAAGAGGTCAGGAGGGAGGGGAGAATGGCTGAGGAGGAGGAGGGGGTGATTATATAATGGCAGTCCTTCAATCATCGGTATAGCAATGTACAGAGCCACAGCAAAATTAAAGGAAAGCAACATTGGTAGTTCTATCAAGTGCTTTTTTGTACTTTGCATAAAATTGATGGAATTATGATACCAAAATTATATACTTAATAACTATGAATTATAGGTATATGGTTGATGTGTGATAGGATGTGAACCACACACCTGTCAGGAATTAAATCTGATGGTGGTTGATGTGTGATAGGATGTGAACCACACACCTGTCAGGAATTAAATCTGATGGTGGTTGATGTGTGATAGGACATGAACCACACACCTGTCAGGAATTAAATCTGATGGTGGTTGATGTGTGATAGGATGTGAACCACACACCTGTCAGGAATTAAATCTGATGGTGGTTGATGTGTGATAGGATGTGAACCACACACCTGTCAGGAATTAAATGTGATGGTGGTTGATGTGTGATAGGATGTGAACCACACACCTGTCAGGAATTAAATCTGATGGTGGTTGATGTGTGATAGGATGTGAACCACACACCTGTCAGGAATTAAATCTGATGGTGGTTGATGTGTGATAGGATGTGAACCACACACCTGTCAGGAATTAAATCTGATGGTGGTGACACCTGTCAGCCGTTCCTTGAATTAATCAGCAGGATCAGGGTGTTTACAGTAGATGACAACAGTTACAATGTCACAGACTCCCAGTGTTTACAGTAGAACTGACAACAGTTACAATGTCACAGACACCCAGTGTTTACAGTAGACCTGACAACAGTTACAATGTCACAGACTCCCAGTGTTTACAGTAGAACTAACAACAGTTACAATGGCACAGACTCCCAGTGTTTAAATTAGAACTGACAACAGTTACAATGTTACAGTCTCAGTGTTTACAGTATAACTGGCCACAGTTACAATGTCACAGACTCCCAGTGTTTACAGTAGACCTGACAACAGTTACAATGTCACAGACTCCCAGTGTTTACAGTAGACCTGACAACAGTTACAATGTCACAGACTCCCAGTGTTTACAGTAGAACTGACAACAGTTACAATGTCACAGACTCCCAGTGTTTACAGTAGAACTCTCCAGTTACAATGTCACAGACTCCCAGTGTTTACAGTAGAACTGACAACAGTTACAATGTCACAGACTCCCAGTGTTTACAGTAGACCTGACAACAGTTACAATGTCACAGACTCCCAGTGTTTACAGTAGACCTGACAACAGTTACAATGTCACAGACACCCAGTGTTTACAGTAGACCTGACAACAGTTACAATGTCACAGACTCCCAGTGTTTACAGTAGAACTGACAACAGTTACAATGTCACAGACTCCCAGTGTTTACAGTAGAACTGACAACAGTTACAATGTCACAGACTCCCAGTGTTTACAGTAGAACTGACAGTTACAGTTACAATGTCACAGACTCCCAGTTACAATGTCACAGACTCCCAGTGTGACAACAGTTACAATGTCACAGACTCCCAGTGTTTACAGTAGAACTGGCCACAATTACAATGTCACAGACTCCCAGTGTTTACAGTAGAACTGGCCACAGTTACAATGTCACAGACACCCAGTGTTTACAGTAGACCTGACAACAGTTACAATGTCACAGACTCCCAGTGTTTACAGTAGAACTGACAACAGTTACAATGTCACAGACTCCCAGTGTTTACAGTAGAACTGACAACAGTTACAATGTCACAGACTCCCAGTGTTTACAGAAGAACTGGCCACAGTTACAATGTCACAGACACTCAGTGTTTACAGTAGAACTGACAACAGTTACAATGTCACAGACACCCAGTGTTTACAGTAGACCTGACACCAGTTACAATGTCACAGAATCCCAGTGTTTACAGTAGAACTGACAACAGTTACAATGTCACAGACTCCCAGTGTTTACAGTAGAACTGACAACAGTTACAATGTCACAGACTCCCAGTGTTTACAGTAGAACTGACAACAGTTACAATGTCACAGACTCCCAGTGTTTACAGTAGAACTGACAACAGTTACAATGTCACAGACTCCCAGTGTTTACAGTAGAACTGACAACAGTTACAATGTCACAGACTCCCAGTGTTTACAGTAGAACTGACAACAGTTACAATGTCACAGACTCCCAGTGTTTACAGTAGAACTAACAACAGTTACAATGTCACAGACTCCCAGTGTTTACTGTAGAACTGGCCACAGTTACAATGTCAAAGACTCCCAGTGTTTACAGTAGAACTGACAACAGTTACAATGTCACAGACTCCCAGTGTTTACAGTAGAACTGACAACAGTTACAATGTCACAGACTCCCAGTGTTTACAGTAGAACTGACAACAGTTACAATGTCACAGACTCCCAACAGTAGAACTGACAACAGTTACAATGTCACAGACTCCCAGTGTTTACAGTAGAACTGACAACAGTTACAATGTCACAGACTCCCAGTGTTTACAGTAGAACTGACAACAGTTACAATGTCACAGACTCCCAGTGTTTACAGTAGAACTGACAACAGTTACAATGTCACAGACTCCCAGTGTTTACAGTAGAACTGACAACAGTTACAATGTCACAGACTCCCAGTGTTTACAGTAGAACTACCCACAGTTACAATGTCACAGACTCCCAGTGGTTACAGTAGAACTGGGCACACATACAATGTCACAGACTCCCAGTGTTTACAGTATAACTGGCCACAGTTACAATGTCACAGACTGCCAGTGTTTAAATTAGAACTGACAACAGTTACAATGTCACAGACTCCCAGTGTTTACAGTAGAACTGACAACAGTTACAATGTCACAGACTCCCAGTGTTTACAGTAGAACTGACAACAGTTACAATGTCACAGACACCCAGTGTTTACAGTAGACCTGACAACAGTTACAATGTCACAGACTCCGAGTGTTTACAGTAGAACTGGCCATAGTTACAATGTCACAGACTCCCAGTGTTTACAGTAGAACTACCCACAGTTACAATGTCACAGACTCCCAGTGTTTACAGTAGAACTACCCACAGTTACAATGTCACAGACTCCCAGTGTTTACAGTAGAACTGGCCACAGTTACAATGTCACAGACTCCCAGTGTTTACAGTAGAACTGACAACAGTTACAATGTCACAGACTCCCAGTGTTTACAGTAGAACTACCCACAGTTACAATGTCACAGACTCCCAGTGTTTACAGTAGAACTGGCCACAGTTACAATGTCACAGACTCCCAGTCTTTACAGTAGAACTGACAACAGTTACAATGTCACAGATACAATGTCACAGACTCCCAGTGTTTACAGTCACAGAGTGTTTACAGTAGACACACAGTTACAATGTCACAGACTCCCAGTGTTTACAGTAGACAGTTACAATGTCACAGACTCCCACAGTTACAATGTCACAGACTCCCAGTGTTTACAGTAGAACTACCCACAGTTACAATGTCACAGACTCCCAGTGTTTACAGTAGAACTGACAACAGTTACAATGTCACAGACTCCCAGTGTTTACAGTAGAACTGACAACAGTTACAATGTCACAGACTCCCAGTGTTTACAGTAGAACTGACAACAGTTACAATGTCACAGACTCAGTGTTTACAGTGTTTACAATAGAGTGTTTACTGACAACAGTTACAATGTCACAGACTCCCAGTGTTTACAGTAGAACTGACAACAGTTACAATGTCACAGACTCCCAGTGTTTACAGTAGAACTACCCACAGTTACAATGTCACAGACTCCCAGTGTTTACAGTAGACTGACCACAGTTACAATGTCACAGACTCCCAGTGTTTACAGTAGAACTGACAACAGTTACAATGTCACAGACTCCCAGTGTTTACAGTAGAACTGACAACAGTTACAATGCCACAGACTCCCAGTGTTTACAGTAGACCTGACAACAGTTACAATGCCACAGACCCCCAGTGTTTACAATAGAACTGGCCACAGTTACAATGTCACAGACTCCCAGTGTTTACAGTAGAACTGGCCACAATTACAATGTCACAGACTCCCAGTGTTTACAGTAGAACTGACAACAGTTACAATGTCACAGACTCCCAGTGTTTACAGTAGAACTGACAACAGTTACAATGTCACAGACTCCCAGTGTTTACAGTAGAACTACCCACAGTTACAATGCCACAGACTCCCAGTGTTAACAGTAGACCTGACAACAGTTACAATGTCACAGACTCCCAGTGTTTACAGTAGAACTGGCCACAGTTACAATGTCACAGACTCCCAGTGTTTACAGTAGAACTGGCCACAGTTACAATGTCACAGACTCCCAGTGTTTACAGTAGAACTCTCCAGTTACAATGTCACAGACTCCCAGTGATTACAATAGAACTGGCCAGTTACAATGTCACAGACACCAATTGTTTACAGTAGACCTGACAACAGTTACAATGTCACAGACTCCCAGTGTTTACAGTAGAACTGACAACAGTTACAATGTCACAGACTCCCAGTGTTTACAGTAGAACTGACAACAGTTACAATGTCACAGACTCCCAGTGTTTACAGTAGAACTGACAACAGTTACAATGTCACAGACTCCCAGTGTTACAATGTCACAGACTCCCAGTGTTTACAGTAGAACTGGCCACAGTTACAATGTCACAGACACACAGTGTTTACAGTAGAACTGACAACAGTTACAATGTCACAGACTCCCAGTGTTTTTACAGTTACAATGTCACAGACTCCCAGTGTTTACAGTTACAATGTCACAGACTCCCAGTGTTTACAGTAGAACTGACAACAGTTACAATGTCACAGACTCCCAGTGTTTACAGTAGAACTGACAACAGTTACAATGTCACAGTGAGTAGAACCAACAGTGTTTACAGTAGAACTGACAACAGTTACAATGTCACAGACTCCCAGTGTTTACAGTAGAACTGACAACAGTTACAATGTCACAGACTCCCAGTGTTTACAGTAGAACTCTCCAGTTACAATGTGTCACAGACTCCCAGTGACAACAGTTACAATGTCACAGACTCCCAGTGTTTACAGTAGAACTGGCCAGTTACAATGTCACAGACACCCAGTGTTTACAGTAGACCTGACAACAGTTACAATGTCACAGACTCCCAGTGTTTACAGTAGAACTGACAACAGTTACAATGTCACAGACTCCCAGTGTTTACAGTAGAACTGACAACAGTTACAATGTCACAGACTCCCAGTGTTTACAGTAGAACTGACAACAGTTACAATGTCACAGACTCCCAGTGTTTACAGTAGAACTACCCACAGTTACAATGTCACAGACTCCCAGTGTTTACAGTAGAACTACCCACAGTTACAATGTCACAGACTCCCAGTGTTTACTGTAGAACTGGCCACAGTTACAATGTCACAGACTCCCAGTGTTTACAGTAGAACTACCCACAGTTACAATGTCACAGACTCCCAGTGTTTACAGTAGAACTACCCACAGTTACAATGCCACAGACTCCCAGTGTTTACAGTAGACCTGACAACAGTTACAATGTCACAGACTCCCAGTGTTTACAGTAGAACTGACAACAGTTACAATGTCACAGACTCCCAGTGTTTACAGTAGAACTGGCCACAGTTACAATGTCACAGACTCCCAGTGTTTACAGTAGAACTGGCCACAGTTACAATGTC